GAACAAATGCACAAAGGCAAAATATATTTCTATTTTTCTCTAGTTCAAAATATTTCTAAGCTAGACATAAACAACTGTATATTCCTCTTAGTGGATAAATCTACAGACACCTAAACTTCGTCTAATAACAAGATTATAATTCTCAAAATGCGTGCAACTGTCAGAATAACATATGGCCGTTTTCTCCCAGCCTTTTGTATTAATAATATACATTTATCGTACGAAATTCAAAAATCCCAGATTTCGTTTCGAATTATATACATGAAGGTTATTGCGTAGTGGTAACGGCTCGGTTATTTTATTTACAACATTGCTAAGTATTTTGTATGTTATAGATGTTTTTTTCATAAATTAAATAAGGGTTAAAAATTATTTAATAATTATTGTAAATATTGTTTCGTTTACTTAACTAATAATAGTGAAACATCAATAGCTAACTAAAATACAAATAATATAGTAAATGTTAACATATAACTTTTAATTTGATCTATTAGTTCTAGAAGGATCCAGCTAACTTCGATACTTGCGAAATGTAAATGATTCAATTCTTAGAGTAGGTATAAAAATTAATTAATTATTTATAATTTATTAATAAGGTAAAGTAAATTTCATAATATATTTCTTTTAAAAACCTGCTGAAAAAGGGGCGGGAAAGAGTAAAGCGTAAGCTTTTTATTATTTGAAAGATAAATGGCTCACGCTTTACTCTCCAGCTCTGTCTTTAAGGACAAAGTTTTAAATGAAATATTTTATAAAAGTTACATTTTTGAAAAATATTTTGTAAATTTGAGTAACAAAGTATTAAATCAAGTTTTAAGTAAGCAACCTCAAATTCTAAAATTTTGCGACATAAAGGTTTAATCGTTTAAATTTAATCGGCTTACCATCAAGAGCGGAGAGGAAGGAAAAACGAGAATTAACCTCTAAAAAAAAAAATAATAATTAATCTCAATAAACAAATAATGCAGCATATGATTTTCTCCCTAGTTCAATTTAATGATTTCAAGTACTTTAGCCACCTTTCTGTCGTGACCCCACCATCAGAATAGTAACTTACCTAAATAACTGCTTAAAGTATACCTTTGCGACATTCTCCTCGAAGGAAAAAAAAAAAAAAAAAAAAAAAGCTGTTTTCGAAGTCGTTAAAAAGAAGTTTGCATATTAAGATTTAAAAACTGTTAAATATTGCAGAGTATTTTCGATTATTTAAAAATTCTTGAAAGGCTCCGTTAAAGAGAGAAATAATGCCTAACTTTTAAGAATTTGGCGAACATTCTACTTAGATATTTTCAGCGGAATATTCACTAAGAAATCCGATTTTTTGGAAAAAAAAAAAAACTCTACATAATGAAAAGACATATAATGAAATGCAACGCGAATAACAAAATAATTTGCTTGAAAATAATCATTTATTTCTGTGAGTCGCAGAGATATCGCAAATTATGTATTTAATGTTTAATATAGGAAGAATAAACGTGTTTTCTTCGAATTGATGTGTGCCCCTATGTGTTGAAGGCATACATTACTTACAGTTTGGAACATTGTTGTCCAGAAACGTTGCTTAGAAACAAACAAAAACTTTAAAATAATTTTTTTTTTTTTTTTTTTTAATTTTGGATAAAATTCGGAGTTTTTATCATCCGAAAATTTAGAGTAAAGAAATTATATTAAATCTTTTAATTGCAATTTTTGTGCAGGTATGTTTTAAATTAATACATTTGATAACAAAATAATTACTGTAATTGGAACGCGCAAAATTTCAGAAAATGGCGATAACTAAAGCGCCATTTGTATGCCATCTTCGAGAAGCTTAGATGTTGCTTAGAAGAATGTAATTTTGACTATTTACGTAAATGTAAAATTCTTCTTTATTGCTTTGAATATTTTATATTTTTATTACTTTACTTCTTTTTGTCCTGAAACATTAACTGCTATTTTATTATGCAGCACGTTTCTAATTTCCTTGTATTTTGCACGAAACTAAATAATTTTATTATACTTTCTGGAGCTAAGAATGAGAAGCATTTATATTCATTCTGATTTTCTGCGAATGCGTTAGATATTTGACTTTCATTAAATGAACAGGCTAAACAAATTTAATTATCTCATATTATCTCCCTGTGGATACAAATGCTAGCCCGAAAACTATTTTAGATATTTCTTAGAAAAAGCTCTTCGAGAAATACTTAGTTCTTTTGAGGGTTTACTCATTTCTATTCGAATTTTAATAACATGATTTCGGCTTGGCTATATATGGTGCTTTAGAAAGATTACATAATTAAATACCTCTTGAACGATTTGTTATAAACTGGTTAGAAATGAATCAAATAAGGGAAGCTTTCAGTCTAGGATAACTTCAGGCACGTGACGACTTTGCTTAAAAAATGTATATGAAACTTGAATTTTTATGTGGCCGCTAGTAAAAGAAAGTGCCAATTAGAAAATCTTTTGTCGGTACCGTAAGGATTCTCCCCCCTCCCGAAAAAAAAGTGCTCCATTCCGCTTATGATCAAAATTACTGAGGTATGCTTAATTAGAAGCTTTAAAGACCTATACGCTGCAAGCAAGTATGAGTTTATGAACGCAAATTTCTAATATACTTTTTCATTTAGGAAAAAGCCTAAATATAAAAGCAGAAGTTTTTCAATTCCCTTTCAGGAACACAAAAATTCAAAAACTTGTGTTTAGTTTCATAAGCTCCATTGAAGAGCCATTTTCATTGCGATTAAAAGTGGTTTAAGTCGCATTATTTTTGACATAATTTTTTATACACTCTTTTGCAAAAAATCGAAGCACCAAAAAGGACTTTTGCGATCGTGATGAAATTTGGTATGCAAAATCATCTTGATCGAGCACGCAAATGATCAAAGTTTCAAGGCAAATGAACAGGAAGTGCGATCATAGCGCGCATTTCTAGTGCGCAATTCGCAAAATATAAAACCAATAACAGAGGCCGAAAATGTATCTTTTTTTTTTTTTTTTTTTTTGTTGTTGTTGTTGTTGTTGTTGCTGCCATTGTAATTCCGTAAAGAAGCAACTAAAGACGCCATTACTACGATGTCGAAGACCTTACAGACAACTAAACGACTTCCAACGTGGTCGCATTGTAGGATTGCGTGAAGCTGGGTGGTCATAGCGAGCAATAGGTCGCCACATGGAGCGTACAGACACTGCTGTGCAAAGATGTTGGCAGCAATGATTGCTACAAGGACATTGTCGACGAAATGAAGGCTCTGGAAGTCCAAGGAGCACAAATGCGAGGCAAGATAGGATGATTGATCGCCAGGCCCGAACCGCCCCAATGGTATCATTGTCGACTGTTCAACGCACTACAGCCACGTCTATACCTTCCGTGGCCACCATCTCATGGTGCTTGTCTGATACGGGATTACGCTCACAGAAGCCTTTAAGACGTTTGCCTTTGACCCCACAACATCGGCGGAGTCGTCTGAAGCAGTGTCGCAGCCGATCATCATGGCTGCCATCAGTCTGGCATCGTATAGTGTTCAGCGATGAATTTTGCTTCACTCTTGAAGCAGATGACCACCGTGTTCGTGTCTGGAGGGGACGGGGACAGCGGTCCTTTTCAGCCTTTGTTTTACAAAAGACATACAGCCATAACTCCTGGTGTGATGGTGTGGGGTGCTATTTCTTATGACAGCAGGTCATCTTTAGTCGTCCTCCACGTTGAGTCGTTTCACAACTCAACCATCCTGGGGCCATTTTCCAACAAGATAATGCCAGGCTACATGCCGCTGCATATCTCTGGACTGTCTCCGTTGGCTAGCAAGATCACCAGACCTTTCACCAATAGAACATGTCTGCGACCTGGTACGCCGCCCGATTCGGGCACCACAAAATATTGCAGATCTGGAGCGACAACTGATGAATGCTCGGCAGAATGTGTCGCAGGATGACATTAGGAACTCCTTGCCTCGACGAATTCAAGCATGCAGGGGCGGTTCGACCAACTAATTTGAACACTCAATGGGTGATTGTGAATCGTGAACGGGTTCTCTGACCTTGATTTTTTAATTATTTTTTTATCTGTGTATCAGCCATACACATATTCAATTTCATCAAAAACAACCACTTCCTTCATGGTGCTTCGATTTTTTTGCAAAAGAGTGTAGTTTTAATACAAGGTATGTAATTATCAAGGTAAGTTACAAGGTAAAATTTCAGTTTTCTGTAATTTTATTACTAAGTGCTGTCAATCACATAAAATTAAAGGGAAAAGAAGGGGCATCGACATGCTTATTTTATAGAATTCCTTTCGTAAATTAAACTATGGGCCAATGATCGACTGTTCTTAGGATATTAAACTGTGCAATATTTCTTAAATGTACTGTGTAGAGAAATGGTCTCAAACTCTAATCGCTTGCGGGCATTACTTAATCTGAAAGCAACTGACGAGACAAAACATTTTTAACCCCTTGGCTACATTTGACGTATCAATACGTCATGCATCTGTTTGGCAAAGACGCACATGACGTTCTGATCCGTCATCAGATCATTTGTTGCATTTGTTTGGGCAAAGACGCACATGACGTTCCGATACGTCAACAGCAAATTAGGAAATATACTGACTGACAGTGCAAAGAATGCTAAGTATCACTGCATTCACCAACCTGTTTTGAAAAGTATCGCACGCTTCAAAATGATTGATAATTTGCTATTTATTACAGAGTTTATTTGTTTAAAAGTATTTTGTAATACTAACTGCCTAAAGTTACTTCGATAGTATGTAGAAGTAAGTATATATAATGAATAATACGAAATAAATTAATTCTTGCATGAAATCTACTTACTGTTTTTACTTGCTCACGAAATTAAATATGTTCCAAGTGCAAAAATATTTTCAAATAAATGTGTACCCAAAGGGTTAAAATTTTAACATTTTTTTTAACAAAAAAATTAAGCTAAATTTTAAATTTCGCTTATCGACTATTTATCGAAACATACATAAACAATAATAATAGTAAAAAAAAAAGGAGAACATTAAATTTATATGTTTATTTTCTACTTGGAATCTAAAGGTTGGCACCTGCAAGAAAAACCTCTTGGTTATACTTTGCAATTCAAATGCACTAAGCTGAATATTAAATTTTAGCCTGACATTTATTTTCAGGTAATTGCAATATGTTGAATTAACCGCTAAATAATCTTTACTGAAAATTCGCAAATTTCAGAATACTGAATCGCCATCAGCTGTTGGCTGGCAAATTAAAATTTAATGATTTTAGGAATGTGGGAATTTCCTGTACCTCACTTTAGTCACGTGGTCAGGCGTGCAAGTTTACAGTGACAAAGATATAGCTCCAACTATTTTCCTTCAATAGCAGTTTAGCATATAAGTCGTACATAGAATCGACATCTTTGTCTCTGAATCTGTAAGCATCGTACTTGCAATAAGTATACAGCTAAAATGTATTCGCCGATAAACATAAAATCGCTTTGGGGGGGTGGCACATGCGGCTCGCGGGCCACGAGTTTGAGACCACTGGTATAGGGGATCATACTGAAAGTAATGCTTTTCTCTGTTTTCTCCAAAATCCTTTCCAGTACGAGACAGACTAACTCATCCTGCATCGGCTGACATAATTTCTTTAATTTTAGCTTTGGAAGAATCGTAAATGTAGAGAAAGAAATACAGAAAAAAAAAAAAAAAAAGCTGCTGTCAAGTTCTTGACTTAAAAAAAGGCGTTTGTTAAACGGCATCCACAAAGTCTCAAAAGCGATAATTGATGAGAGTAATTTGCGAATATGGTTAAAAATATTTGCAAAAGATTTTGAAAGAAAACTTCCATTTCCAAAAAAAATCGCATAGTGGAATCAATTGACAGCAATCATCTGTGCCAAGCGAATCAGAGTGGGTAACATGACTCAAACAGACCAGTATTAATGATCGAACAGTTCTGTATAGTAGACAATAGTATTGCGAAATATATTGTTCAGTCTCATATAACGTTTTAAATCTTTAGCTCGTATATTTTCTTAATGTTGTCTAAACAGTTATCTTGTATATAGTATATAAATATTTCTTTGAATTACAGTACAACTCCAATTATCCGAACTCTGACTATCCGAATCGCTAGTAGAAGTTCTTTTGAAAATTCCTTGGATGTTCAGAAATTAGTGTTGAGGATACAGCACAATGGATGGTGTGTGATTCGTCAGAACCTGGGTTTCAAATTCTAAATGATGATGAATTATTGAAAGTGTGAGAGAAGATGACGTAATGTCGAAGTGTTGAATCAGACACGGGACCATGAGCTAGTAAAACGTTTGCCGGCTTTGAAGTGGATGGAGCGTCAGCCCGAGTGTAACCACATGCAATATCACACTGTCCAGCGAAAGCGCCACTCGACTGCCCGAAAACGGATGAAGACAGTCAAACAACTTGCCCTGACCAAGCTGTTCAGCTTGACCAATGACTTTCAGCAATTGTAAGTACTGTACAGTACGCTACATAACATGTACGTAAGATGTCGCCTTTTCATTTTAATTAATTGAAACACCTTTTTCTTCAAAAATAGTTTTTTCTCCCATTTTCAACATACAGTAGTCAGTAGTTAAAGCGTACGTAGATCCTTTCTTCGGAAAAAATCCGTTTATCCGAATTTTTGATTATCTGAATAGAGTCTGGTCCCAATTGATTTGGATAATTGGAGTTTTACTATTAGTATTGTATTATTTTGATACTTGCATTTATTTTGTAAACAGTTCCTATAATATCTGGCACAGCATGTGATTCTGTGAAACTGATGTAAATAATCCTGTAATTTATGCATTGCAACTTTGAACGGCATCCACAAAGCCTTAAGATATACTGTTCGCTTGTCGCAACCAAGGATTCCAATGTATTTCCTTCAAGGGCCTTGCATACCCATGCAACTCAATATCATTTGTGTAAATTATATCGCATATCTAGCCTTCCGGGCCTTGAGCGTAGATTTTTTTCTCCAGAGCTCACGCAATAACAGCTTAAGCATAATAGCAGGTCTGTTGTCGTCACGGGGGTGCAGCGAGAAAATAGTACCACGAAGACAAAATTCTCTGCATACATATAAACATGTGTCATATTAATGAAGAGATTATAATCTGACAGGCATTACTTTCAGCGTAATCCTCGTAAGTATAATATAAAAATATGCATTATATTGTAATTAATTACATGTATTGAGTCAATTTTGGCTCATCTAAATTCATATGTACTCTCTGTTTTATGATTTTATTATAGGATTACTTTCATGGACAATCTCATTTAATGAAAACATTTTTCTGTATGTTTGGCAACTTACATTATCTGACTGGGTTATCGTGCCTTTTATAAAGATAACACTCTAACATAATTTGCATTTTTCTCATTATTTCAACTTGAATTACTGTTGAATAATTGTAGTTTTTAATTCTAGATTAAAGGCTACTTGAATTTTCTGTATAACATTATAACAATAAACAAATATATGACGACGAAAATACTTATTAATTCATATTTTGTAGACATAATTTCCAGATTTTTACCTTTCAATAGTTTGATATCTAATCAGTCCAGCGATTTATTTATTACTATTTAATAATTTTAAAAATGTTTTTAAACCCATAGCGCATTTTTAAATAAATTTATTATTTGTCACTTGTGTAAAAAGATCAAAATATCGCCATGTAAAGACGAGAACAAATAAAAGCTGTTGTTAACTAAGATTACAGCAATTGTTACCGAAAATCTATAGAAATCATTTTCTTTGATAAATTCTCTAAAATATTTGAGTTGTTTTTTTAGTGAAAAGTGTCTGATAATCTTTAATTAAAACTTTAAAGGACAAAACGCACATTAAATACTTTTGACAGTATGCTCTTTAAAAATATTATTTTCATTTAAAATTTTCACGTAAATGCACCTTACGTTGCTGAACACGTAGTTCCTGGTGGTATATAAATTTCAGCAGCTTCTAGTTGCTGAAAAGATGCATTTAAGAAAGTGCTTATAAAAGTATTTCTAGCTTTTAAATTGTTTTCTGGGACTTTCAATGAATGATCGACATGACTTTCACATAACACAAATTTATATAATACATTGGACATGAAAATTAAGAGCGAATTAATTTTCTGGAGTTTATATATGCATAAGGGCCTTCAAATTACTCCTGGCAAATATATTTTTACCTTATTATTTTATGACAGACATTGACTATACAAGATATCTCGGAATTTTTGCCTCCTAAAGTGTAACTAACTCCTAGGTTTTAACAATCTTAAATTTTCATGGTTCTATGAAATAACCTTAAAATTTTAATTAAATAGCTTAAAGAATTTTTTCTGTAATGTTTACTTGTAATTAATTTTAAATATTTTGTGCGTAATCTTTTCCCAGATTTAGAGCGTTTTTAATGTGTAATTAAATAAGAACAAAAAATATAATTAACAATTATACTGATATCCAAATAACTAAAACATATGTATTTAGGTTACCTAAACCACCTTTGGGTACTTCAGATAGTTCTTTTTCTTGCTTATTTGTCGAATAATTGTCAAATAAATATGATGATTTACGTAGTTCTTTAATTTGTAGTATATGTACTCGGGCTACATGAGTTTCTGCATTCCTTCTAATTTAACGCGATCAAATGAGAGCATATATTGAAGGCCTTTATCTCCGAGCCAATATTCAAAAGTCCCTAACGAACAAAGCTTCATCACAGACTTTCTTAAAGCATTTTCTTTGTCTAGTAAGCCCACATGTAGCGCTCATAATAAGTAATCTACTTCTATAGATCACCAGGTGAAATTCGACTTCCAAAGTCGAGAAGACATTGCTTTCTTGTTTTAAGTAAACCTAGAATGTTGTTTTATCACGGCGGTTTCACCAGGGTCTTTTGTATAAAAACAAGCTTTTTTTCTAGTGACTTTTTCTCTTTGATAGTGTCCCTAAGTCTATTTAAAAGTCTTCTTTCTGATGCTTGCCATGAGCGGATAATTTCCTCCTTGCTCATTGAATAAAGTAAGAGTTCATCTACTTCCAGCAACTTCTTAACAGCCATTTTCGGTTCTGATGAAACTGGAAGAGTCTTTTTCTTTGGACTCTGTGGGCACTTTTTTCTCCAGAGGGTTTCATCCAAGGACCTATATCTCCTAATATGGGGAAAAGCAGCGGAGGACGAATCCACCAACCGAAGATCCTCTACGCTTATGCTGAGGACGGTAGTGTCGAAGGCGGGTTGTTGTTCCTCTCCACCCGAGGAGCTTAAATCCTCGAATGGAGAATCGGTCCTCACCAAGTAATAGGGCCGTCTGAACGGGGAATTATCAAACTGCGCGATTCTATGTTCAAACTCTCTGCGATCTTCGCGTTGTAAATAACTGTATCCCGTCGTCCCAAATAGTCCTTTTCTATACATGTCAGTCCATGAATTGCGTCTTGTAGGCGAAGATGCTATGCTCTGGGGAGTAAAAATGAGGCGTTGTTTATCCATTGGAGAACAAACGGGTAATACAATATCTTGCTGTAAAAGTTGGGGATGGCTTGGATTAACGATATCAGTATTGTGGCGTTGTTCTTTCTGCAAACGGACGCTGAAAATAAAGTGAAATCATCATTATTTAAGCATAATTCGTAGAATAATATGCATAATGAAACAATACAAATGATGACACCGGCCCACTTATTGTTCAATAATTAAGTTTCCATTTTACATATTTACAGCAGTATAGTTGACAATAGAGGTGATAACAAGCTACATCTTAACTAGATTGTAAGATTTATCCTAAGTTTATAACAGTTCTTTTTAAGCTCATTTCCTATCTCTCCTAATTTCAGCTTAGAGTTTCTTACCAGAATGAGTTTTTAGAATCGGGTTAAATCCAAATGAGAAGGAATAGTATTTTAAGCTCCACTGACTTTGGTAGAGATCCCTGCTAAAAATGCCCCATAGAAACCAGTAAAACTTTTTATGGGTTTCTATTGACATTAACTGGTATCTGTAGGTTTTTGTTACTGATTTCAAAATGCCCCATAAAAACCAGTAAAACTTTCTACTGGTACCTATAGAATTTTTGTTGGTCTCTACCGACTTTTACTGGTTTCTATTGATCTCTGAGGATTTTTCTTACTGGTATCAATTGAAACCCATACAACCAACATCAATGTCAGAACATTCTGCTGGTTTGTATTGGTTTATATTGATTTTTACTGGTTTTCTTACTGCTATTTATATAATAATGAATCTTCTGTTAGTTTATATGGGTTTATGATAATGTTCTATCTGATGTTAATAGATAGAAGTAATACAAAAAAAAAAAAAAAAAAAAAAAAAAAAAATTCTTGTAAACAATAAAATAAATAGAATGAAAATATGATCTTTTTAAGACCGTCAGAGTAAACTGGAAATGCAGGTGGTCGTTTTAGAGAGGGTTTTTACTAAATATGCTTAAATATTTGATTTTTAAAAACTTTTGTCGGAAATAATAGTAGTAATCATAGATGCCTCACACAACGAGGTCTCTCTAAGGCGACCAGCCCCAAATAAAAACGCATATTTGCAAATGGTCACCTTAGAGAGGTTTTGCTCAATATCAATATATACTCATGTTCTCAGAAATGCATTTATCTTTTAGATGTGGTCGTCTACGAAATGAATCTCCCTAAGGCGACCAGCTACATTTGCAGAATTTTCTTTGTGAATGGTCTTCTTGCAGAGGGAATGTTCAATACCAAAATATACTTATGTTTTCATCAGAAATATTGGTCTGTTTCAGAGGCGATCATCTTAAGGAGGTGGTTTTTGCCACGAGTTGGTTCTCTGACTAAACACACATACCCACTTACATTTCTGGATATTAGAAATAAATATTGGTATCAACCATCATCTCTTTAACGCGACCACGTTCATTCATAATCGCAAAACTATTTTTCTCCGTGTTAACGCGAACGTGAGGAAAAAAATTCCATTCCCTCCCCCGCTACCTCCATGAGAAGAAATTCCCAAACAAGCAATATGACGCCGTTCTGTTCACGTTGTTATGCGATGTTTGTGTTATGATCGTGGTGTAGGCTGTAGGATGCAATAAATAATTTATTATATTACAAATTTTACTATGTTTTACTGTGTAGATATTAATAGTAAATAATAAAATGCCAGTACTGACTGTGAATATGAAAGCAAATGCCACTAAAGCCATGTTACTATGCTGGGCCTTCTTACAGGCCCTTGATAGCTTCGCTAGCTAATTTAATATTAGAGGCCAAGTATTTAGAACGTGTGTTATCTTCGGTTAAATCTCTTTAGTTAGTCATTAGTTAAGTTCTTATTTCTTACATTTTTAAGCCCAAGTGGAGGCTTTGTTGTACGCATTGAGAAAGGGACTATCTGTATACCTTTAGTTTCAGGAATAAAGGGTAATTGACTCTTCTTGAGCTACGTTTCTGGACTTAAGTGATTATTCGCTTAGTAGTTCACTAGATTCCTCCACACATAGTTAGCAGATAAAAGGGAGGTCCCTACAAGATGAAGGGAAGCATGAGAAGAAAATGATTGTGTTACTGATGTCAGATTAAGATTTGTGAAGTTCCTGTACTTCTCAACAGAGAGATATAGCATTGCTTTGAAGAGTCATTAGGATTTTTTTAGGGGCAGAAAAGATGAAAAATAGCAAACGCTCTCGCCGGGAATCGAATCACGGACCTCTGGAATATCGGCCCAGCGTGCTAGCGTTACACCACGAAGGCACGTTAGGGAAGTGGGAGAAATACCTTATAGCTTTACTGTTTTATAAATGTGTTGGTTTGAATGCTATTGGATAAAAGACTTTAGTTTCACTTGAATTGTTATATAAGGACGAGAGCACCTATATTATATGAGAAATTAATAATAGATATTCATATTGTAATAATACTCTTCAGAGGGTTTTATTTTAGGCATCTTATTACTTTTAGATCTGCTACAGCTTTAATTATGTGATGGAATAGTCCTTGTGCATTTGGATGCGCACTCGCTTCAGAAAAAACGCAAATATCAATTTTGGTAATTTCCTCCAACATCGACAAGAAAAGATACATTACGCATACACCAATCTTACGCATTTTTCAGATTGCTTTTTAAGATTAAAAATATTCAGAAGGAAATAAGAATGCAGGCACAGGCTTTGCCACACACAAGGAAACGATCACGCATTCTCAGGAGATAAGGCATATAATAGCCTCAACAAAGGAAGGTTTGGATAATTTAAATATTTAATTAAATCTAACAGAAGAACGAAGACTGTCAAAAGAAGACTCGTTTGTAAAGCAGACACTAAATAATTATCTCGAGCAAAGGTACTTCCCAGATAGTGTAACGAAGTTATTAAAGAAAGTACACCACTTTTAACGAAAACAATTATCTTTTTATTTCGAAAATTACAGATAACTAACTGATTTTAGCGTGCGCATCTTTTCACCTGCTTAAGAGATGGATGTTTCAACTTCGAGGTCTTTCTCTCGCGTTCTCATCTCTCGCTGGCCATAATTTTGGTAGCCTAGCAACGACGTTGCAGCTACATATCATGCATTATTTCCCTCTTCGGAACATCTTTTCTTGAGTTTGTAGAGACATTAGGTATTTTTGGAAGCAGGCAAGATGAAAAAATAGACACGCCTTCGCCGGGAATCGAACCGCGGATCTCTGGAATACGCGCCCAGCGTGCAGACCACCACACCACGAAGGCATGCCAAGAAAGCGGGAGAAATACCTTATAAGTTGAGATAAGGAAAACATTCATCTCACAATTGCTCTGGTTCACACTCACAGGAGATTGAGATCCTTTGGTACTCATAGGAGATAGAGATCCTTTGGTACTCACAGGAAACAGACCATTCGGGTAACACCTCTAAAGCATACTTGTTTAAAAACTTAGTTGCTACCAGAATCTCGTTTCTCAGAAAAGTCCCGTCTAGCGGGAACCGTCGCTAGATGTGATAACCCCTTTACGGCCGCACAGAGCAAAAGTGTCACATGCACTCCTGTGACACTTTTGCTGTTTGCCGCCGAGCATTTTCCACTTAGAAAATGCCTCTTGGAAGCCCTTCTGTGAGTGGCAATACATATGAATGAAGGATTCACAAATGTTTTGCGGTGCTGCAGATAAATATTAAAGGTTACTGGTGTCATATGCCAATGGTCTCGAACTCAAAATTGCATGCGGGCTGAATGCATGATCTAAAAACAGCTGACAGGCCAGAATTGTTTTTAACAAAATAACAATTTTTAAAAATTTTTGCTAGCTAAATATTTATTAAAACATATATAAAGAACAATACTTATAATAATATCGCAAAGGAAAAAAATTATTTATGTTCGGCCTTAAAATTTGGTACTTGCAAGACATTTTGGTTGGTTACACCTTGTAATACGAATATATTGATTGCTAAATATTAAACTCTCAGACTGACATTGATTTCAAATAACTCTAACACGTTTGATCAATCATTAAATAACTTACTTTAATATAAACTAAAAAACAAACAAATTTTGAAGTCTCCCGAGAAAACTTTCCATGTGGGATAAAACTTGAAAGTAAATAATGACGACCTAGTCTTTTTTTGTTGTTAAATTTTTCTTCAACGTATTGAATAAAAAATGTACGCCTATATGTAAAGAATTATAAAATTTTTTTATTCTTTGCTGCAGCTTGACATTCGATAGCGTTTCGATTCTGATACAATTTGCCTTGGAGATAAATGACGGATTGTACATGCTCATCGATTAATCGGGTTCCTCTCTTGTTAATTTTCACCTGCGGAAAAAAAATAAGCTGTTCACATATAAATGCATTCCCAAACAAAGCATCTGTTCTTAGTGAAAAATTCCGCAACTGAGGGCTTTTATTTTTCGATAAGTATCGAATTCATAAAAACCTTGTAACTCCAAATCTTTGAATAAGATTTATATTGCACTGTAAATTAATTAATTAAATATCACTCTGTAAGTTATTAATTCACATGCATTTTTAACGGTAATGAAAATAATGTTAAAGGGTTTCAACACCTCTTCTCTTATAGCTATGTGTGTGGAACCTCGAGAACTGGTAAGCGAATAATCGCTTTAGCTCAGCAAACAGAAACGTAAACTTAAGAAGGGTTAATTACCCTTTATTTCTCAAAATAAGAATTTACAGACGGCTTCTGTCTTAGAGCGTACAGAAAAGCCTCCACTTGGGCTCTAACTCAAGAGTACTAAGAAATCAAACTTAACTAATGCTTAACTAAAAATATATAGCCAAAGCTATCAAAATTCTAAAGGAATTGGTTCCTAAACGTCGACTAAACGTCAAAGCTATCAAGGGCCTGAAATACGGCCGAGTGCAGTAATAGCTTAGAGAGAGAGAGAGAGTGTGTAGCGAAAAGGCAAACGCGCTCTAGTCAGAATCTTTGGCTCTCTATCGAAGTCAGTGGAACTTCGACTTAAGTACCGCTGTTCCTTCATTTGCATTAACCGCGATTCGAAAAGCATACTCTGACAGAAAATTGTAGGCTGAAATTAAGAGGGACAGGAAAGTAGCTTTAACTAAAGATAACTGTTAAGACAAACCTTACAATGTAAACTCGGAATTCAAATAACAAAAATTTCGAAATTCTGCAAGCTGGGCGCGTATTCCAGAGGTCCGAGGTTCGATTCCCGGCGAAGGGATTGCTAATTTTTCAATTTATTCTGTTTCCAAAAAGTACCTAATGTCTGCCTTTATGCGGTGTGTAGCTATGAGGCGAAGGCATGATTGAGACGTTTAACTGCGGGTGCCTCCACACTTATCATCACGACAAAACTTTCTCTATTTTGAATATGAAAACTAAAGTTATAATATGAAAACAAAAGAATACAATAATGATAGTGTTTTACCTCAGTTTTTACCGAGGCGGAGTAAATATGATGGAAATTCATAATCTTCTCTAAGAAGATCAGCCGTGGACAGTGCTGGTGGTCGTGTTAGACACGTGAAATTCAATGTATTCAGAATACTACTCTCAGATGAGGTCATCATAGATATATAATCGTCACTACACATGTATTTTGAACATTACTGTATTTGGAATAAGAAGAAGAGATATAATTTGAAAGACCAGAGGTAGATCGGATGAAGAGAAGCCGAAGTCATCGTGCCATAATATATATATATATATATATATTAATTTGATGGATGCCATAAAAATAAGTAATTAGTTAAAATTTTTTATCTGAGGAAGAGGACAAGGCCAGCAAAACAAATTATTTCTTAGGTTGTGTATAATTAATCATTCTGAAATTATACACTACTTTCGAATGAAGATGTTTCATGTTTGTACAAATGAGAACACGAGGTTCAGAACTAATTTTAGTCATTATACGTTTACATCCATGTCTTTCCCGGAATTCAAGCCCAGGCCCATCGATATGGCAGTCAGCATCATTAACCACTATTCCCGGGCGGCATACCTGCCATCCAGTGTGATAAGTGACTCTGGCATGAAACTGAAGCCACATTGATTGCAATACTCGCAGCAACTACCAATTAAATAATAACAGATGCGCAGTTGTGTAACATTGCTGTTGTTGCCAAAAAAGTATGCTTAGATTATTGATTACTGTGTGTAAGATTCTGAATTCAAAATTATCTGAAATTTTAATAAGTTTATACGGTATTTCTCCCGCCTTCTGGTGTAATAGTCAGCACACTCGGCGCGTATTCGAGAGGTCTCAGGTTCGAGTCCCGGCGAGGGCATTGCTCATTTTTCACGTCTTCTGATTCAACAATACCTAATGCGTGTACAAGTTCATTCTTCTAATTTATTAGTAAAATAAATATAATTCCTTTATTTGCTTCTCTCCATGGTGTATGAATTTTAAATATCCAGCAGTGCATATCATGTCAGTTCGCTCATAGAATATTTGGTACTATTCCGTTTTGAGGACCGTAAGAAATTGCAGCGAAAATATATGCGCAAAACCGCCAAATCTAGCAAACGCGCCCATTTAACAGTGCGCTAAATCTAGCGTACGCGCTGATTTCAGATTGCGTAAGTTTATATTTCTTAAGACGCCATTGAAAGACTAGTTTAATTTTTAAATCCTTTTTTGATATTAAATTCTTTTTTGATATTCTATGGATTTAAAATTTGGGAATTGCCCATGACGAAAAGTGTGCAATAGAATTTTGGGTAAAGGGCAGAATCACCCATTGCTTGATGCGTTTTTAAGAATTGCACATACTCGGTATCCGTGTACACATCGACCTATTTTCCCTTAAAAACAAAATCCCAGAATTGCACAAAAATGGCACTGCGCATACCCTTTATATATGTACACATCGACCTATTTTCACTTCAAAAGTAAAAGAAAATTGACAAAAATCCAATTGTTTTTACCCTTGTCAAAAGCGGCATACAAATAAGTGGGCGATTCTGCACTTTATCGAGAATTTTTTTCAAAGAAAAGGCATCATTCATTATAGAAAATTATGGTTGAACAACCAACGAGATGAAACTACGCTTTAGCGATAACTCGGTAGCGAAATAGCGATGCAGGCATCCATTCAGTTATGTTTAGCAATTTTTTTATAAATTATAATAATGACCTGAAATAGTTATTAACTCTTATGCTTCCATTCAGTCACGTTTAGCGTTTTTAATATAAATTATAATAATAAAAAGTATTATATGAAATTAACCTTTCTAAATTAAAACAACAATCTTAGATAGTTATTTCCTATTATACTTCCTTTCTTGCGTTGGGTTGCCGCAATTATTTTTGGCACCACTGGCATCAACAACAGTTTGGTGATTTTTTACGGCCCTCAAAACCGAATAGTACCGAATAGGTACCTTCATTACAATACCAAATTAGGGAACACACCGCGAGTTCAATAAATAAGCTACATCCATCTAGCAACTTACACTTTTCGTATCTCTTGAATCATCTCAAAAAACTGGGACTTGCTTTTCCTGCGTCTTGCTTCTTCTTTGGCTTTCTGCGTAAAGTGAAATTTTGTTAAAAGACATTTTAATTAAATGACGTATGTACTATTAAGTAAAAAATAGGAACTTAAAGTAATTGTAATATAATTCAAACATACAGTTATAGCTACTACTTTTACTATAAGTTTAATAAATTACATTACCAGCATTACATGTCTCAAAATAATTTTCCAGGATTAAAAATTTTTTGAATTATTTTCCCGTGGTTTCAATTTATTCAGGTTGGCCATACATTTCATGAAAAATTTCATGGAACACATTTCATGGAAAAGGTACAAAATTAAATATTTTTTTTTTTTGTGAAAAAGTTTAATTTTGTACCTTTTCCATGTAAAAATTTTTATATGTAAAATATGTAAAATGTATGTTTCTATGTAAAATTCCATGCAAAAATTTTGTACCTTTTCCATGTAAGTGAAAGTTATAGATGTATGTAAATATAAATTTCTACATTATTCAATTATCTTAGCTCATATAGTCACTTATACGAGCTAAGAAACTTCCAGTTAGTAATAGTTCTTCATTTTAGTAAAAATCGTTTTATAATATGCATAATAACTGTCTTGGGAAAAATACTGCTCAAAATTATATGATTTTAAACTCATTTCACTGATTAAAAAAGAAATAAGAATATTGAATATGTGAATTTGAGGAGGCGTATAAAGCAGATTTCTGAAAAATAAAAATTTTTACTTACAGGAATTTGAAATACATTCGTAGGAATATTTTATTCTTATTTTGAAATTTTGTTGTTTATGCTCACTTGTCTGACGTATTCAGCTGAAGCACACGAAATTCCTCATGACAAGGAGGGCTAGATTACGCCCGCCGTTGGCAACACCCGTGAGCACAATTCAGGTGACAATGCGATTTTGCTCAGTTCCGCCCCCAATTCTAAAGGACAGCATCTTGGGGGGGGGACGGGTCCGAAGGCCTCCCGCCCCTCTCTAATTCCACAAAACCACACGAGAGGACTTTCAGCTCACGGCAAGCCGCCATGGCACACCGATACCAAAGAAGCTATAGTTCCCCTAGAGATTCTTTGCCGATACTATACATTTACAAACATCCATGCCATCTCCGGGATTCGAACCCGGGCTCTATGGCACACCACTCAGCGACGCTACCACTATACCAGTTGGGCGGCTTTTAAAATTTTAACTGCTCTTACATATTTGCGTTTCTTCAATATGAAAGGTTTTGCCATGCATTGCTGTGTTTAATGCAGTTTGTAAATGGTTTAGTTCCCTACTGTAAATTAGTAATATTCCGAATAATTTTGATTTTGGTACGATATCCTTCCCAACAACTCGAACAAGAATAGATTTTTCCCTAATCAACTTTTTCCCTCCATCTATGGAACACGTACACACATTTAATTTTGTATATGTATTCAGTAAACATCAAGTGACCCAAATTGTTCTCTTCTGAAAGCCTACCTTGATTTATTTCTTAATTTGAAACAATGCATCTAAGAGAAATCACAAGAAAGAAATATATTAAGTAGTGTAATAGATGCGTACTGCATTATTTTTGCCTCACACAGAAATTAAATATTGATACTTTGATTTTTAAAATTAAGGTCGAACATGATGAAATCCGTTTGATTGCAACAATTTTTTAATTTCTTTATTTGCACACTTTTTTTGGCGAATGAATTAAAAAACACTTGCTCCGAATATTTGTTATAACTGAAAGTAAAAAAGCAACATTAAAAATTCTACGTGTAAATTTTCTAACTTTGTACAACACAAAACTGTCTACCCTTTTTGCGCTAGGTTATATATGAACCAGTATACTGGAATAACGGTACAACGGTAAATCTAATTGCTCCAGTATCTGTAAAATTTCACTAATTACTCTTTATAATAGGACAACGTTTTTACTTTTATTTAAACTGCCCTCCAAAAATTAAGGAACAGCATGTTTTTCAAAGTTCACCATTACAAAAATGTCAGCAACATTTAAATTCACAGTTTATATGCATGATAGTAATGAAGTTTTAGAGAATATATACAAAAACAATAGCTACTATTTTTACTATATAGAAATGAATACTTATCCAGAAGACAATATCCAGAATTGACAATATCTAGAAGAGTCTATCAATATTCAGGTGAAGTCGTTTGCCTGATTCTTTGAGGTGGTGGGCGATCGGATGGATCGAAATGGGGATGTCACAAGCTGATGCTGCTGGACGTCTTCAATGTCTCTCGTAGTGTGGTCCACCGGCTATAGATCAGTTTGAATCCGAGAATTCTGTGTCTAGAAGACATGTTCCAGGCAGACCAAGATTTACAACACCTGCGGGCCACTGTTATTTAGCTCTTTCAATCCGAAGAAGGAGCAAACCTATTGTGCCTCGGCACATGGCAGATCATTGAGTGGCAACAGGAACAAGAATCTCAGCTACTACAATGCGGAAACGCCTACACAATACACGTCTGTATGCAAGACGACCAGTTGCTTGTGTTTCCGTTGATCCGAGGACAGAGAGGTACCCATTTATATTGGGAAAAAGGACACGTCTTCTGAACCAGTCAACAATGGGCATCCATTCTCTTCACAGAAGAGTCCAGGTTCACAATGGAGTGTGATTCAGGTCGTCAGCTGACCTGAGGAAACAACGCACCAGGTTCAACCAATCCCAAATTGTGGAAAGACACAATTACAGAGATGGTAGAATAATAGTTTGGGCTGAGATCTCTCTCAATGGTCACTCTGTCTTGCATGTGTTCCATGGAAAAGCTTTGACCGGTGTGAGATATCGAGACGAGATCCTTGACCAATATGTCCGCCCATATGCCACTGGTATTGGTCCTGAATTTCTTCTGATGGACAGCAATGCGCGACCGCACCGAGCCCGGGTTGCTGAAGGAAATTTTGAGGTCGTTAGATTTGCTTGAACAAGAATTCCATTTCGATGACCAACTTAATTGACAGCATGGAACGTCGCTGTCACCAATAGGGTTGCAGCTATGGGTGGACAGATTCTTTATTATAACCCATTTTTGTAATGTTACCACCACATGTTTCTTCAAAAAAAACTGTGATGTACTGTTTTTCTAATGACTAGAATTCTCTGACAAGACTGCAATTTTTTTTCTAGTAATGCACGTTTGTGTTGAACCTTAAACATTCTGTGTCGCATTCATTAAAGAACTGTATACTGAACATGTGCACTAAATTTCTTATTTCTACGTTGCTTCATTCCTAAATCATATACAAAAAACTTGCTGTTCCTTAACTTTCGTAGGCAATGTATTTTTCGTTCTTAACAAAATTTTTATAAAATTTTTAAGTTATTTTCTTCCTCCTTAGGGTTTGCTTTCCTGGTGTAACTAGAAAGTACGTCCGCCTAGCAGTCGGAAGATACGGAGTTCGAAACGCGGCAAAAGCGCTGCGCATTTTTCGTGTTTCCTGCTCCGAAATAAAATGATTTATTGTCTCTACATATTAAAGTATTACTTATAGTTTAAACAAACTAGTATAAATTAATTTCTTCTTTGAAGCGACCAGCTATCGGAAACCTAAAAATGAAAGTCAAACTATCATTTTTTGCAACTTTTTCGTTCAGTATGTAGTACATTTAAATTAATGTAAATTACACATTCTTTGCAAACACGCGGTAAGGGAATAAATCACATATTTTAGCACTAAGTAATGTATTGCAACTTTAAAATAAGGAATGTGGGGATTACACAGCGCTACGATTAGCAAATTTTAAGTTAAATCTATACGAGAGCAAAGTTCTTCAAACTCAAAATAGGAAAATTCAATTTCTCAAATCACCGTGTATGTCACTTAAACGTTACTGCATTGAAATTGCGTAAATATTTGCGCCATCATCGGGCATGTCTGAACTAATACACTTATAAATTTAATACACAAGCTGCTAGAGGTAAATGTTATTGAATGGAACGATTTGCCTAGTTTACCTGTAATGCATCAAACAGAAACTTTACAGGAAAGGCATTGTATAACAAATCCACGCAGAAATGCATAAAACATTTACGTCCGCGTACCCATCATCTTATAAGTTGGTAATCACATCAGAGAACGTCCCTTTTTTATACCGCGTTTCTAAAGATTTGCACGACTAAGTATCTCTTGGATGGTTGATTGTACTCAAACCTTGAATAGCTTATTTTAAACACAAACCTTGAATAGCTTATTTTAAACACAAACCTTGAATAGTTGACTAAAGGCTTGAGTTTAAAACATAAATTAAATCAGGTACGCTGCAATAATTTTGGCCACAATAAACATCTATTAGTAAAGTATACGAGATTAAAGTTCAAAGTAAATTTCTATAAAGAAGCTCGAATTAGTTTCTTACACCCTCATCCTAATTTTTTTAAAACAACTAACAAGTTTGGTATATGCAATATGCAGATATGACTCTGAAAGCAATGGTTAGAATTACGTGTCTTTAAACATATTTATCCGAAGAAATTAAAGAATGTAAGGTTTTCGGGTATAAGAATAAATTCCATTAAATATACAATTTAACGTTTATAATATTTTCCACCTACTTTATATTAAAATCTGTACATTTGTTAGCCTTTTAATATTTACAAGAACAGGAATTTGGAAAGACGTAAAAGCTATCTTTTTAGAACTTGCTTTCGAAAACTTAACAAACAGTACTGTTCTTAGTAATATCGGTACACGATCCCAGAAAGTTTTGATTTTGAACAGTATCTCAAGTAATTTTGATCTCATGAATATGATTACAGAGGATCACACATTTTTGCAACGAGTTTGAAAAGATTTATACTCGTATATAAACAAACCTTAGAATTTTATTTTCTAATTTTCTTCTTTCCGAAAGCCCTTTTGTTGAACTGTCTTATTACACCTCGATTTCCAGATAAAAGTCTTTTTCTTAAAACATCAAGGTTGATTTTATTCCACTCCTCCATCACACTCTTCCAGAGTTTTTCCAATGTTTTAGGATGTCGCTTATAAAGAGCTTGTTTTAAAAGTACAAATGCACAGTAATCCGTGGACTTGGGTGGGATGCATTTAAAGGGAATGGCTTCAATTCTGGTTTTTTCCAAAAATAGAGCAGTGGATATAGAGGTATGGCTCGGAACCTTATCCTGATGGAACTTAACACAGTGGAGATTGTTTGGATAATGATATGAAACTTCTTCTTTAAAATAAGGTGTTAAAACGTATTTCTGATAGTAATCCGAATTAAATTTTTAAATTCATGGAGAAAATCCAAATTGTTACAAAAATGTATAAACACCCTCTGTATTTTTCTTCACTTATGGAAGTACTTCTTTATGCGGCCTGTATAAAAGCTAAATTTTATTATGTATTTTGTTAACTGAAAAATATTCAACGACCTAAGTGTCTTATTTAATGATATTTAATTCATTTCTTAAACTGAGACTGCCGATCTATGATAGGTCATTCAAAAGATTGTGCAAGCTTTTTAAAACACCCATTGGGTGTCTTTTTGAACATCTTTCTGAACCTTACCCTTTTCACACTCTTCTGAAATAGGCTGAATATCTGACCTTCTTTGAGGTTGGTAACAATTTCTTTAGCTGAATGATGCGGAGAAACAAGTTCCACTTTATTGATGAATCTGTACAACTTCTAGGAAAAAAATGCAATAAATAGCTATAAATTAATAATGCATATAAAAGAATTTGTTATAAAAGTTTTTGGCCGTATTTTTAACTGTATAACACTCAAGTGTAACAGGTAGTTTTTAAGGAAAGGCGTCTATGAGATATTATTAGCGTTTTCGTTTTTAAATTCTTTTTTATATTGTAACTTTTGTTTTAAACTAAGAAGAACAAGAATATATATATATATATATATATATATATATATATATATATTAGCTTTTAAAAAGCAAACTTTATTTAAATTAATAATGTTAACACTTATGTACTTATGGCATTAAACATTTGATCACTTACCGAATTTTAAATATACTAAAATCTTAAAATATTATTTCTAATTTTACTCTAATTCGAAAGAAAAGTTAATATTACATTAAAAAAAGAGGATCTATTACAATAGAGTCTCGCAAATCCGACATAATGTGGACTGAGAGACTGTCGAGTTTTACGGAATAAGGGGTGGGTTTTCTAGAACTCTTTTTAATATTTAATCCTTTGTAATGCGCATAATATGATTTTTATAATGTTTCAGGCTTTCTCTTCTAAAATTGGTCCTGAAATGAGTTTTCCGTTTGCTGACTGAACCATAAATAAAATAACCAACTTTCGTACTTTTTCTTTCCTTTAAATTATACGTACAGGCTCTTTTCACACACCAAGACTCTATTTTGGACCTCTTCTTTTCCCACCCTGTCAAAGTAGTCCGTCGAACAACTAAATCCATGATAATTTGTTTACAATTTTTCCTTTGTCCAATCTCTTTAAGGTTTAAGGCACCTAACTTCTTCTTCATTTCCATTATCACCTTAGTTTGTTTCCTTTCGTTTCGAACGACAGTCTCACTTCACAGAACATCAAAAGTTCCCAGAAATATGTAACACTTATACGCCTGGATGTGAGCAGAGAAACGATATCCGCAATGAACTGGTGTGAGTTTAGTTTGCAATAAGATGCAGGCACAAAACTTCAGACAAGTCTCCTAACATTTCGCAACAATAGAAGGGGGTGTGAGCCAGAGGGCAGCAGCTACTTGACTATTTCGTATCTTCGACAGAAGCAAACAGCGTTGCCAAAGATTTATATCTTGTTGCCATATCTTGAAGCTTGTTAAGCAGTTCCAAGAATAGTGGCATTATGCGAAAACAGCAAAAATTACAGAAAAACAACGCCCACATCTTTGAACAGAACAGAAAAGACATACGCATAAATAATAGTTATATGTACTGTATGTAAGATTTGCTCTGTTTGGCCGAGAGATATCTTAAAAAAGTTCCTAAAATGTTGTCGAGATACCGGGAGTCGAGTTTGCTGGACTCTATTATGTAAGTATTTACCTCATTTTGGGTCAAATATGACACACATGTTTTACGGAAGTGCGTTGTTGAGATATTATTATTGTTATTGTTTTTAATTTTTCGATAAACTTAAACTTTTATTTTAACTTGAGAACAAGAAGAAATTAAGAAAGTTTTATTTTTTAAAAAGCTAACAATTAATCTAAATTAAGAAAGTTAATACTTATGTACTTACAACATTAAACACTCGATCACGGCCTAAATTTTATATGTAATAAAATATTAAAATGTTACTTCAAATTTCATTCTAATTCGGAAAAAATCTATGTTTCAGGTTTTTATTTAATTGACTGTATTTCTTCTTGCATATGACTTTTGTAGACGGCTTGCAACATTCGAAGCTCTTAATGAATTAAAAACGTAAGTTCTAGTATTCACGAAAATATTCCCAAAACCTTTCCAGTGGGCTTTGATGAGCAACAAATGCAAAACGTTAACGCATTTTATCCATCATCTTCTACGCTTTAAGAATTTGAGAAACTTAGGGCAGTGTAAAATACAACACTGGATAAAACTTCACAACCAACATTCACAAGTACACATCTAATAATAATATAGATACGAAATTCATAAAATATATTTATTAATGTATAAGCATTTATATATTAATGTATAGCAATAGAATGGGCGTTTTCGTGGTTTTCTCCATGTGTAACGTATATACGAGCCAGTTTTCCTTAGAAAGTCCTCCATGAAGGCATCCCTCCCCTTATGCAGATAGCCGTAGTGTGCTTTGCCATAATTAAATAAACCAAACCAACAAACCAAACAGATTAGATTAGTCAAACCCTGAGTTTCCGCAATAGACATTTGACACATGTCTAAGAAAATGACGTGAAATGCTTTGCAAAACTAACCAGTTTTCTAATAGAAAATAAATTACGTTTAGATGATAGTGTGAAAAATTATATAATGGGTTACATTTTTGTGTTGAAAATTGTAAGAGAATATTTCCCAGAAGAGAAAACCAAGCATGACTTCATACAAAATCCGTTCGAATTTTGTGATAGGCCTACCAGCGCCCGAGTGGTAAAAGCAGTAACACTGGTAATTCGGTCCGCTGTTCCGAGTCCCGACAAACGGGCTAGCTACATGGGCGTTTCCTATTAACGTGGATACCAGTCAGTCTCCGTTAACACGTCACCTCTGGGCATCCCACCTCTTCCGTGTAGTGCCAATTGGCGGAGCATGTAATAAATATAAAAATGAAGAGTACTGAGATAAATCCAAACACTTGCCGATGAGGAAAAGGGAAGATAAGATAACCATACGGCATATTCGTCGTTCCGCAAGGGCACTGCGAGTCCGCACCCCCGCCAAACAGGCACAGGGGTTCAACCCATGACCTCGAACCTTGGAGGGATTGACACCAGAGCACCTGGTGTAACAAAGACCACAGGGCGTCGCTGGTCGTCAATTTGCTACCTAGCAGTCGCTCAGAGACATAATAAGCGTACCCGAGACGCTACCTCCCTTGACTTCTAGAGCCCTAAGCTCTAGGACCTGCCAGACCCAGGGGCCGACCAATGAGATAATACTAAGGCCTCCAGTACCACTAGGTTTGTAATTTGTATACCCCCATGGGCGAGACTGCCTAGGTACAGATGCTAGTCGGTAGCTTCGCAGAGTTCTCTACGTCGACCCTCGGGGGGGGGGACTTATCGACATATCAACACATTTGGTATTAAGATCTAAATTTAAAGAGCAGCTTCTAAAATTTCGGTTGCAGATTCATGCAAAATACTCAAAAGTTTCTCACAGGGTTATAAACATTTTAATGCCATTCGGCACAACATATTTAAGGGAAAAATCTCTCTCAACGTATATAAGAACAAAAACAGATATAGAAGCAAATTAAATATAGAATATAAAATGCGACTGCAGATAACATGAATAGAGCCAGTTTTTGACAGTTTATGTAAAAGAATGCAAACTTATCCCATTCACTAAATAATATAATGCAAATGTATATCGCACCTGGAGTGCACTATTAATGAGTAAATTACACTAATTTTATGTTAAAAATTATATGTTACTTTTCGTTACTTTACATAAAGTACTTACAACAGAGTTATCTGCTTTAAATATTATTTTAAGGTATATTTTTCTAGGAATAGGATGGAGTTCCCTCCCCCCCTTAAACCTTACAATTACAACTTTACCGAAAAAAACTTTACAATTACGCAAGTCGATAAAGTTTGAAGACCACTGGTTTAGTTTCTTAAACAGCGAAGCTAATAATGTTTGAAATTCTTCTAATGGGGGATAATAAACAGTGGAATCCTGCATACAGTTTACAGCACAAATACATGCAGTAAACAAATTAATTCACACTAAAGTTCAAATACGTATTAAATGAAGAAAGAAATATTTACATGACAACTTTCGTGGATTTTTCTTTAAAAAAACATACCTGACTGAAAAACATTACGTTGGGACTCCTCCAGAAGCATTCGGGTGGTTTCTTGCGAAGTTCAGGTAAAAATCGCTTGAAGACCACGTGCTCAATGATAAGGATGATGATGCCAACAACAAGACCTAGCAACAGCATTACGAAAACTCCCGCTACGGCTCCCAGACTCAAAGGCTTCGGCTTGTTGAGACGATGCACTGAGTGGTTAAAACAAGGCACTCTTCCAAACCACTTCTTTTGGAGCTGTTCGATATAACCGTGTTCGTTGTAGCGTAGAATCAAGGTAGAAATAGATTTCTGAAAAATTTACATGAAAAAATCTTATTAGATTACATAGATGACATCTTAATTATTTTATTCCGCATTCTCCTACATTAATTCTACTCCACATTTAATAGTGCCTCGGAGAAAGGGAGTAAAATATTCAGAGTACCAGAAAAATACTTAAAAATATGAAAGAGCTTTGATATGTAAGGGGTGTTCAAATGAAAAGGTAAGAAACCATACTATATACTGAAGTCTATATGGGATATAATGAAGTCTTTATTCACAAGTAATCAACAAAGACTTGAGCACAACTATCCCACTGTTTCACGAGCCAGGGGATTTCCTATTCCCAAAATTCATGTAACCTTGACAGCAGCGAGTCCTCCACTGTGTCCTTCAGTTCGTCGTCCGAGTTTGAAGCGCTTCCCTTTGAGATGTCACTTCTCACCAGGACGTTCACCTTGTCGACGAGTTCGGCAATGATTACTGTGTCTTCATTGTCTGGTCTCGGCTCATCACTCAAACACTCTAGACCTTCACGAAACCTAGCACTAAACTTTTCTCACTAACTTGTGGGATGCGCAGTCTTCCTCGTATATGACCATCATCCGGCGATGAATATCGGCCGGTTTAAACCCTTCCACAGTCAGAAATCGGATAACACCTCGCTGCTCCTCAATCGTAGAATTTTGCAATGTGAATGCCATGATGTTCTCACACGCACTGGCTGCATATTCAAACTTCAAACTGGTTTATTTGTTACGGCGTTTTGTACTTTGTAATTTGAACAACCCTTATATAATGAATACTAATTAATTTGAAATCGCATAATTCGAGCAAAAACTGAAGCTTAAAAACTCTCGGTTAAGAAAAAATCTTAACAAATTTTATTAGTCCGAACTATTTGCCTCAAATCTATTTCAGAGGAAGTTTTGTTTTGAGTTCTTTTGGTAAGGCTACGAGTGTATGGCGTTTAAAATATACTTACATACTTATTTTCGTTGCTACCCATATGAGCATAGCATGCCGTTTCTATCTAGAATACTTTCAGTAATTCTAAGAGTTTAGATATACTATACACTTTTGAATTCATGAGAGTCCACGTTATATGGATTATATAACTAGGAGACTATCATGAACTATAAGTAGGCTACGTTGTTTACAAACAGTTGAAAAATATTGTGATCAGGGTATGTAATACTCTAAAAATTAAAATTTAGAACCTTCTGAGTTCTTTTATTATGCTGTATACTTAGTTAGTAAAGAAACGTTAAAACAAAAAAGCTTGTTTTGATATTGGATCAATTGTAACGCATTCGCAGCTTCAATTAATGCTTTTGAAATCGCAACATTCTGGCCGAAATCAAAAGTAAGAAATGAGATACTATTCGCAGACTAAAAATTGGTTACTGTAAGAAGGAAAAGTGAAAAAAATCAAGGTTTAATCAAGATTAGGTTGACAAGTCGAGTAATTAAAACTCTCTAACCGGCAAGGCCTAACCGGCTAACTAGAAATTTTTTTGTGATATCTGTAAGAACGTATATATACGTGCGTATTAAAAAATGTCAAAGAAATTAAAGCAATATATTAAAAGTACACAAATTCTGGTATAAAATACCAGGAGAATTTTTACATCAAAATCAAGAAAATATTTTTTTCTCACAGTAGTTTTGGAAAATTTCTGCTTTCTTAGCAAAAACCCTGGCCGGTCAGACGGTTAAAGGATTTTGACTTTCGTGAATAAAAGTAAGTAATGATTTCGTTTATGCGAAATATCTAAAAAAAAAGCAAAATCTAAAAACAGACATGTTTAAAAATTTAACCTAATTTTATCGTAAAATAAGGAGATTTCTCTTTTGTTAAAGAGTAATTTTAATGTGGGTTCACAAGATCGAAATATGGTGTTTTACACGAAAATAGTTGAATAAATTTCAGCTCACTTTTATCATAATGAGATTTCTCTTCCGTTAAGGAGTAATTTTAATGTGGGTTTACGTAATCAAAATATGGAACTTTAGTAGATGAGTAAAACATGTTAACGTTTGGTACTCCTGGTCAGAGTTAGAGCAAACTCCTTTCAACGGAGCAGTTAAGACAAAAGAGAAGGCAATTATAGTAAAGGAAAAAAAATAGAGGAGATCAGATCTAATTTTTCAAAATAAAATTTTCTTCTTTCGGAAGCAAGCGATGAGAAATTTTAAACGAAATAAAAGTTTTGCAGATTTTTGTCTTGCTGTTGGAATGAAGTAATTACATGGAAACTAAACTCCCGTGGTAAAATTTAACTTTCTTTGCCCCAGTTTTAAATTAAATGGGAGTTTTGCAAATTTCAATTTTGCTCACGGTATTAAGCAAACAGCGGTAAATGTCAATTTGTAAAGTAAAATCTTTTGAATAGTAGTCTAATACAAAATTCCACATGCAATAATTTAACACTCTCTTAACCTCCAATGTGGCATGAATTATTGAAAGTAAATAGCATCTTATGAGTTACAGTAAGGAAGTTTTGCCTTAGCAGCTTGTTATACTTTATGGCTTACGAAAACGAAGCTGAACATAAAACTCTCTGCGCGTATCTACATTGAAATTCGGAACATCCTTCTGCTACTTCGAGTTTAATCAGGATCGCTCAAAATTTGTCCTACAGCCATTCACGGTAATTGGAATGTTAAGTTACTGTTCATCTAAAATTATGAAAAATTGAGGTCGATAGGTAATAAACATCAATAAACATAGTTTTAGTAGATGAGTTCGTGATAGGAACATATGTCGCCATTGATTAAAAGGAAAGCAAACTGAGATGGTACTGCACTTTTGAAATGAAGAATTACCATTTGCACCGGAGAATAAATTTGCGCTTTCATTTTTCATCACTGTGTGACTGCCAACTCGTTTCAGCACGAAACTGGCTCACGTTGTATTGCCGTAAACATTCTTTTAAACGCTTGTAAAAGACTACAAAACAATTTTGCTCCATAAAGAGAAAATAATTAGAAACCCATTTAGATATAAATGATTCTATTCACACTAGGAAATAAAACATGAAAATGATATGTTTGACTACTTTTCTGGCTACAGAAGGAAAGAGTGTGAGTTCATAAATGAGACTCACTTTGAGTCGAAAACCTTTCTGCATGCCTACAGCATATGCATCATCAAATATGGACTGTCCCAGCAAGTGAAGACCACAGCCAGGATCATTTCCCCTGAAGTAGTCAAGCACCACCGTATCCCCGATCAGAACATCTAACTCGCCGTCCCTAAAACATATGAAAATGTACATTTACCAAACTATGAATATAATAACAAAATATACAAATGACATTCATAAAAGGAAAGATACAATTTAGCAAATTAACTAAAATAAATTTAAGAAATTTCAACTACTCTTATATTATTCACCTATTTACAAAATAAATTGAGGCGCTATTGTTTACTTTTCTCTGAACAATAACTCAAACATTTGCACAAAAAATGATGCCATAAGACAGTATTACACATTATTTTTATTCACGCTAAAGTGCGATAAACTTAGTGTAGATTACGCCAAAGTCTTCTTTTAAGAGGAAATTTATGTACTGATTATACTGCACGGTAAAGTAACGTCAAGGTACAAAAAATATATATATATAATGTTCAGGCGCATCTCGAACTCGTTTCAACTTAATTTTTCCACAGCTTAAGAAAATGTCTGGAAAACAAGTCAAGCAATTGTTTGGAGAGGTTGATGATAAAAAAAGATGTGTAGGAGAAGCTCTGACCGCTTCCCGGGACGTTCTCCCTTGATATTCCATCTGGGGTGAAAGCTTAGATGTTAGCAAGATCTGACGATACCTAATATTCCTACTTGGATGCACATGTACTGGCCTTTACATGTTAAGGCCAATCCAATTTTACAACACTCATCTCTTGAAACCATGGAAGTACAAACTTCACTCTGTCAGCAGGAAAGTTACTTTGGTACAGAAAACAGCTCTTCCAGAATTTCTGTCAGAGTTGGAAGTGCAGATTTGTCAAGATTAAAAGACATATTTTTTCTTTCATCTCTTCGTCGGCAGGAACTAAGGAACCTGGGCTGAAGCAAGAAAAATAGAACCTTCGGACCAAATTTGACAGCTGTAACAAAACATTTGCATATGATGTGTTGGCACTCCAACATACGCCCACTGAATTAAAAGATCGTGCACGAGATTTATTTTCCAACGAAACTACTTGTATTGCTTTAAGGTCCAACGACGGCGAGCTTATACCTTCGCAACGCTCACCCCCCCGGCGGCCGACGTGGAGAACTCTGCAAAGTTACTGGCTAGGATCTGTACCTAGGCTGCCTCGGCAACGAGGGTACACAAATTACGAACTTTGTGGTTTTGAAGGTCATGGAATGATCACTTATTGGCCGTCACGTTGGTCTAGAAAGTCCTAGAATTTGGGGCTCTAACCTGGTGTAGTGTCCCGAGTTTGCTGGGTAATGTCCCTCTGCAGCCCGAGCGAGTGGCAGGTAGCAAATAGACAACCAGCGTCGCAGTATGGCGGCTGGTGTCAATCCTGTCCAAGCTGCGGGGACAGGAGTTGAACCCCTGGGCCTTGTTCTGAAGGTGGATTGGCCACGTAGGGCCGGAACTTAGCATGACGGAACGTGTAATTCACTCAAAACTAGTTACCTTCGCAAACAAAATTTGGCAATGATTGTGATTATCTTGGGTTTATAGCCGGCCGCACGTTCATAGAAATCTATCTTTTTAAGTTCCCAACAAATAGTCCTGATGTTAGCAACGACACCAGAGGCAGTTTGGAACTTTCGAGTGATCATATGGTCACTAGGGACGCAAGAGCGTTTTTTACGAACGTCTTTAGGATTCGAAGGCTGCTATTGCTAAGTTTATGCAGCTTAGCAAATCGTTTTCCTGCTGTTTCTTATCTCGAATATTTATTATCTATATCACTTGATAATTGATTTAGGCACCTGTAAAGGGCCATTCAAACTGTGGTTTATCAGAGCTAACGGAAACAACTGACTTAGCCGACCCATGTCCAAAACCAAGTTTTTCCCATAGGGCAGCAAATTGAAAAATCTTAACTGCAGGCATAGCGGAGCTAGTCGACACGTGGAACTGACTCCATTAGCTCAGATAAACCCCAGTGGGAACGGCACTTAACGACACGAATCGACTTGCTGCAACGAAAATTGCCAGTGATCATGCCGCGTTTAAAATCATTCAGCTGTGCCAGTTTACACATTACCTTAATTATCGTGCTTGTTACTACTAGCACTTTATTTCATTTGATAACATTTTAGACTAGGATAACAATCAAAGGAGAAGTGACTGGATACTTTGGACATACAATGCAGAAGAGTATTTTCTTCATTTATCTGGTAAGAACAGTATGAAATTTCAATGAGAAAATGAAATGTTATATTTTTCTAAACCGAAATTGGTAATTGAATCGTCGTCCTTTTAGATTTAGATTTATGCACGATCTCACTTACCCCATGATTGCAAATAATTCAATAAAATCTATTTGCTTTCATTTTCGACAGCATACAGTCAAAATTCAACATCATGTGTGAATCAGAAATTTTGCAATATGAAATAGTTAAGTCAAAACAAAAGAAATGCTGTGTGGTTAGTTAAATTAATTAAACATTATTCTAAATTTCAGCTACACACAACCAAAATAACTGTTTATTTAATTAAGGATTGTTGTTTAATGATTTTAACAGCCAGTTATCATTTGATATAAATTAAAGTTTTAATTCTGTTAATTAATTTATAAATTAAATTTAACGAGTACAACTTTCCTTAATTTTAAGCCAATTGCACGGCTCATAACAGTTAGCAACTAGTATTTTCATTTGAAGGGGGCATTAAGTAATTTTTTTAGTATTATTCAAAACTAAATCTACAAGTAATTAATTTATCAAGTTGATACTTATAGAGTGTGCATAAAAATGTTACTTTTCTAATAAACTTGAAATATTTCATCTATATTAATTAGGTGAAGAATTATTTGCATTTATATGTAATTTTAAATATATACAAAAATTAAATTTTATCTCCTTTCTCAATGCTATGTAAAACAGTTTAAATATAAAGTTTTTTAATTTTTACTTCTACATTTAAAACAACACCTGTATTAAAAACAGCTTAATTTTATTCCCTTGTATAGGTGAAAAATATAGGATCAGCACAAATGATTCATTCGTTTAGAAAAGGCTATATTTTCAAAAGTATTTTAAGTACACACATATATAAAAAGAAGCTCAAACTCACCAAGTTTTTTTCACTATTTCGCCAAGTTTCCGGGATAGGTGGAACTTTGCTTTAACGTTGAATATCATCTTAGTGGCGAAATCTTCGTCCTCCGATGTTCACGCAAAAATCTAGTCGATGGTCGTAATCCTCTGGCTTTAATTGTTGCAGGCGGTACGCATGGTACGGTTTGAAATGCAACCGTTGACACAAAATCTTCCACACAATTTTTGGTGATATTCCGAACATATGGTAAATTGACAGGACGAACATCCGGACAACAATGCTACAGAATGTATGAAATGAGCTTGATTATCGTCTAGACGTGTGTTATGTCACCAACGGGGCAGATACTGAATATCTGTAGAGGGTGTATAAACTTGATGAGTTTGTGGTTCTTTTCATATATCTTTCATGTGTGTACGTAAAATACTTTTGGAAATATAGCCTTTTTAAAGCGAATGAATTATTTATGCTAACCGTGTATTAAAATCTTGCTGTCAAACTAAAAGTACTTAGAGGTATAAAATTCGTCTTTTTGTACATAAGTTTCCAACTTGGAAATTAGATCGGTAGGGTGGTTAACAGAAGACACTGAATTACTTCGTCTTGACAGGCCTGTTGAAGTTTATCTTCAATTAAAAAAAAAAAAAAAAAAAAAAAAAAAAAAAAAAAAAAAAAAAAGGTATTTTATCTCTAGACAACGAGATAACACATTTACAGAACAATATTGGGTCTCATGCTCAGTCATGCCTCCTTTGTTGGACATACTCTTTCAAAACGATCCTGTAGCAATTACAGACTATGCAGAACTGCATCCTTAGACAAATCGCCTGCTGTCCGTGGTTTCTCAGGAATAATGTACTTTATTCGAAAGAAGTCGTGGTCCAATAACAAACTCTAAGACTGGAACGAAATAAGACGTTTCACTGTAAAGGACATCATATTTCCATGTCGATATTACAGGTGGTTCCCATTCAATGCATATTCGTATTAATCTTGGTAATGAAGCCTAACTACATTACCAAGTTTATCAACAAACGGGCCCTGTAACTTTATTTCCAAAAGTTCTAATGGAAGAATGTTGGAGGAGAAAATTATCCTGGGATAACAAGTTACCTACTGATTTGGAAAAGAAATTCCTAAAATGGAAAAGAGAATTGAAATTTGTGAAAGATATGAGGGTTCCTAGAAGGATAGTAAGTGATTTTGAATCAGACGTTTTTCAGACACCTCTGAATCAAACGTTCACAAATTCCATATTCGGGCTTCCAGATGCTCATATTCCGGTGGAGGATTACGTTATTCAAAATTTGATGGTTCTAGGTATCGTCGTTTTACGAAAATGCGAGAAACATACATCGATTTATGCAGATTCTTCATTATTTAATTTCTTTAAATATAATGCAGGGCTTTAACATTTGGTGGCAACAATTTGAAAAGTGATTCGGTGTAAAATGCCAAACCGAAATTAATAGCCCTTCTGGGCTAACGTCTTTTGGTGCCCATCAAATATAGCAAATTGTCCACTTTGCCATAATAAAAAAATTAATAATATTCATTTTAATCATTTGTGTTTACTTATTTGTAGTACCATGTGTCACAGTTAATGATGTTTGTTGCAAATACTTGGATAAGATTACGACATAGTTCCTTACCTAAGTTTTTTTAGTCCTTCTTCAAGGTCAGCGAAACCATACCTCTGAATATGTTGCCATAATTGTGGATTCTGAGCATATATGTAAGATTCAGCTGCACTTCCTTTTGCAGTCCCAGTTCTCTGATTTAGAAGCTGGAAAAGCAGAAAGATTAAGAGTTTCACTATTAACATATCTTACAAGAATGCAAGCATACAGGAAGAAGACTTTTAATCACTTGCATTACAAAAAAATACGGATCTTACAGCCTACAACCCGATCACCTTTTATTGAAAATCCAATGTCGCTCGTACTCGATCTAAGATATTACTAATATATTGTTACACTAAACAAAAATAAAAATCCTCGCATTCGCAAGATAATTAAACTTAAAAATTCAGCTCATGTTCATAATTTAAGAAGCAGGCAGTAGATTGCATTGTACAAGGGTGTTTTTAAATGAATATCGGGGTTTTAACGTTTTGTAGTATTTATTACATAAAACTTAAAATCATAATTAATACATGAAATGAAAGAGCAACTCAAACAGTTATGCCTACAAGCTTACAAGTGTTCAATGTGAGCACCTTTCGTCACACGGCACGTCGATAGCCCAGCTCTTCCCAAACGTTAATTATTGTTTATGGTGTTACTGTTCCTTACCAATTGAGGAAATAACCATAGTTGTTGAGCATCAAGATAGGAAGTACCTGTTTACAGTTGCTTCTCCACAGAGCAAAGACATAAAATTTCCACCATATATATGGCGCAGAAAACATTCAATTTAGGGGAGTTTCGTTGCAATTATACCATCTAGTGAGGATTTTCTGAGCCCCAGATGCTCACATGACGAGTGCTCACATGTCCACTGAGGTGAAATGTCGATTCATCACTGAAAACAACATGATCCAGAAAATCGTCGTGCAACAATATTTCATGTGCAAAGTTGGCAACGTAAACCATGGTCTGTAGCTTGTACAGTGCCAGTACTGTAACAGTACTGTGTTACAGCCAGTATTGTACCAACAAGCAGAACTGTTTGAGTTGCTCTTTCATTTGATGTCTTAATTATGATTTTAAGCTTTAGGTAATAAATACTACAAAGAGTTGAAACCCCGATATTCTATTCGAAACAACCTGTATTAAATTCCTTTCGCAAAATACAAGGTTATCTGCGTCAAACCAATGGTGAAATCGAAGATCGAAAATTATTTTAAAATGCTGTGTGGGTGCAATTACAATATAATTTAGACTGGATAAAAATAAGAATAAAAGCAGATTAAAATTTATGGTAAAAGCCATTATCTCTTTGAAGCCGGAACAGTTTATGATAAGGTTCTTTGCCTATTAAGTTTTCTAATTCCAATGTGAAAAAAATTGAAATGTTTTAGTCAACAATATGTAAAACTAGGGCAATCCAGTAAAATATGGCAAACTCGTCAAATTGCATTGCAGTTTATGCAAAGTAGATTCCTTTCAGAAGACGCTCATGTGTCAGGCGACAGTGGCCAATTCTCAAACAAGTTAAGAGTACTTCTTCCCTTTTATTTAGCACAGACTGCCAAGATTCAATAGTGGGTTTACACTTTTCAGTTTATTGTTTGCTTAATCATCCCAATGCATCTGAGAGAGATTGAGAACTTTACATTTGTTCATCGTCCTGATATCTGCAAATGGGATCTAAAGGTTAGACATTGTAGTAGCAATCTTAACTATGTTATCTTCTAGTTCATACCGTTTTATGTCAGCATCGCCAGGGATCCAGGAGTAGTGAATCTCATATCGCCCATATTTTAGAGTCTCATTAAGCTCTGAATGTAACTGATCGACTGATTAAAAGTAGGCAGTAGAATTTGTCTTAAGATCTCAAAAAATGTTTCCTTGAAGCTATTTATATGAATTAGCAGTACACAGATAATGATTGCAATAAATATAAATAATTCAGATGGCAGGTAGGCATAATGATCAAATGGACTACTGCTGAAGAACCGCGTTTTGAATTCTGTCTTAAGCATAAATGTTTACAACTGTAATGTCACTTGGATTCACACTTCAGTTTTAATGACGGTGGTAGACGTACGACCGTCAGGTACACCTTGCACACACACACAAAAAAAAAAGACAGTTCTGTATCTCCCGTTCTACTGGACCATCGTCGAAATTTAACTTGCTTTTTCCATGTCTCGAAAGCGCGACTTAGGATATAGTAGATTTATATATAGCATTGCTTTAACCTAGGCATTTTGAGATAAACTCGGACTTTTTCTGAAACAACACTGCAGTTTTTTTCCATATCTTGATTATACAACACAAATTATGCCTAGATATTAAATTCTGCAATTTTTGGCGCGAAATTTATACAGAAATTAAAAAATTTATTTTGGTGCATTTTTTTCAGTTTGCGCCAAGAATAATTGACTTAGCGAACTCCTTAATTTAGAGCAACCTATTTATCTGTGCTTTTTATCATTGTACACGAGCTGAAAAAGTCAGCATTCATATTTTAAATTAATTTTTAACGAAGTGCATAAACCACATTTGACGTTATTATCGCTTATTACAAATATACCAAATTTCAAAACGCGTCAGTGTGTAAATTCACGTTTATCTTAGGAAATTTTGAGTAAAAAAACTCTAATTTTATGCAGCTAGACTTAGAAATACACCTAATTTAAGATGATGGCAAATATTTTATAGGTCATAATTAAAAATGTTTTTCGAAAAATTTATAAAAATTATTTAAAAATACAAATTTTAAAAATAAATAAAAAAATGAGCGATGTTATTTGGAATGAACCTAAGTTTCGAAATGTGAGAGGACGAATCAAATAAGGTTAATAAAAAAAGAGATATTAATAAATATATACCAAATTCAATTAACATGGAGGAGCTAAAGTTTTGAAAGCTAATTTTTTAAAACCTATTCGTGCGATTTTTACAAAACTTAGCACTCTAGCATAATTTGAGTCGTAGAATCGAAATATGTAAAAAAAAAAATTATTTCACAAAAAGTATGGTTTTGTGTCAAAATACCTAAGCTAGAGCAATATTATATATAAATATAATGTATATCCTCAATCGCGCTTTCGAGATATAGAAAACACAAGTTAAATTTCGACAATCGGTCCAGTAGAGCGGGAGATATAGAACTGTCTCTTTTTTGTGCAAGGTGTACCATTGACTTCTTTCTGTTGAAACAAAGATGGAGCCTGGACAAAATTGGATTGTTATTACTGGCATACATAATCTGTAACTAATATTAGATTCAGCACAGAACTGCCCATGTTTATTCATTCGCTCACAAAAATTTAAGGACTTGCGTTAAGCAAGAGTCTGTAACTGATAACACATTTTTAACATGGAAGATAATTAGAGAACTTTTCTTAGCTTTTTCTCATTTACATAAATGTTTCGAAAGGATTTTCGCACTGACGAAAGATAAATGCTTCTATTAAACACTGCGTTCCGTCTTATCACAAATTCAATGTGATAGCAGCCTTCGCTATTATGACGAAAGAGAAGATTTTATGCATATTAGGTATGAAATGAATGCTAAGTGCTTTTACGATTTTTAGCCTAAAATCTCCCCCCCCCAACAAGAAGGGGACAGGAAATGATTAATATTTTGCCCTGTGTTGTATTAGTATGATGCAACTGAGCAGCTTTAGAATTGGAGGGCAAGCAGCTGATATAAAACTTTGCGATTAACTATGATATAATCTTCATAGAAGCATTCATCCAGAATAGAAAATTCCTCTCTAACTTAACATATCAAAGGTTTCTTCTCAGGAGAATTCTTTTCCATAGAAAACTGTTTTACAGTATTTGTTAGTTAAAATCATATTCCAGTAACATTGCTATGACATATACGAGTAAGCCTATATGTCATTTCTTTTATACAGTTTAAAGGCTCAATGTCATAACATGCATTCTTATTTTACCAACAGAAAACTAGGAGATGCGTTATAATGTTACTTCAGAACTCTCATAATGCTAATGGGTTTGAAAATACTAATGTTCAGACACTACAACTACTTTAATTCCAAGTCTACGATTCGGAATTTTTTTTTCGCTGGCTGTCATTGATGCTATATAAATAATTATATAAAAAGATTCACTAACGCTAGCGTCATGGAAATCGTCTACCCTCAGATGGAAGAAGAGACCAGCGAAATGGGCTGCAATGTTAGCGGTGTAAGAAGACACAAAGATGACACTAAAACATCCCCATAAATTAATAAGCACTTTGTTCGGCCATGACTTGGGTGCCTGTAGAACAAAACAAATATATGAATGGAAAAATAAAAGAAGTCACTAAATTATAATGATAAACAATAATGATTTCTAACCAGCAAAATGTTTAAAATATTTAAGATATAAAAATAACATTTATCAATGTATTCGTTAAGTAAAGGCAATCAAATTTAAACTCGAATACACATAAAAACATAGCACATTTACCAGAAACGCAGAAGTAATCGAATTCAACAAGAGCAAAAAGTTTTCGGCTGAGGAAAGTTGCTTTGTATGAGTTATAGTCAACTAAGCTGAACGTCAAAGGTTTAAAAGCAAATGCTTGAAACGTAAGCATGTTATTTTCGTACTACATATTTACCAGTAGCATGAACTGGGTCGGCACTTTGGCAGAATACTTAAATCCATCTGTTAAAGATGAGAAAATCCATATCTGAAAAACGCACGTCTGAAAGAACGTACGCTTGAAACCTAATCCGACAACAAGTACGACATGCATTCATTTTCCAGTTACATTTACGTGCTAAAAACGTATTTGCATATTTGGGTAATTTTTCGTTTCGGTACATTTGACAGGTGAAGTAGGGTGGAATGTCTTATATTCATTCACTTATTCACAAATAAATCGGTCTAAATCATGCATGCATGTCCTTATGATGATAATGATGAATGCGATGATAATACAGTATAATTACAGTTATCCGAACTTCCACTATCCGAATCGCTGATTATCTGAACCGCTTTCAGAATTTAAGAAAAAATTGAGACGGAAATGTACTTCGATTCGCAAAATGATGATTCTTATGCTGTATAGTGTGTGATTTGTCAGATACTGGGTTTCAAATTTGAAGACACTGGGTTGATGATGAACTTATTGAAAGTGTGAGAGAAGATTCGTCGAGGAAGAAGATGACTTTAATGTCGAAGTGTAAGCAGGCATGGGACTACCAACCAGTGAAGTGTTTGCCGGCCTTAAAACTACGTTGAAGCGGATGGAGCGTCACGACATGCAACTTCTCATTGTCAAGCGGATGCGCAACTTGGCTGCCCGAACACGGATGATGCTTTCTTCAACGAGACGTTCAGCAAGCAATGACTTTCAGCACTTGTAAGTACTGTACAGGTCGCTAAATAACATGCACGTAAAAGTGTTGCCTTTTCATTTTAATTAATTAAAACCTCTTTTTCTTTAAAAATAGTTTTTTTCATTCCGTTTGCAACATACAGTAATTAATTAAAGTGTGCCAAACCCTTTCTTCGGAAAAAATCCAATTATCCGAATTTTTGATTATCCGATTGGGGTCCGATCCCAGTTGATTCGGATAACTGGCGTTTTACTCTACATAAAAATGTTGATAATATCTTAAAGATATAATTTCAATGCGTATTTAATTGAACATAGTACTCGCCATTAATTCAAAGTAATTACATTGCAGAGTTAACACATTTTAAATGTAGGTTATTTTTATGCAGTATATAAACCGCCAAATTTCAATAATGCTAACTGAAAGTAAATTCATATTTATATAGCATTTAAAAACTAGATTTTAGATAAAAAAGAATGGAATTCATGATAAAATGTTAATATGATAGATATAATACCTTAAAGGCTACCAGATGAGAGAAAAGTAGTGACCACATGACCCAGAGAGCAGAAGCCAAAGAGAAATTCTTATTGCGCATGCGTCCCCACGGATTCAGGCCGAATGGAGATAACCATTCATAAATGGCGGCAAATATGGCTGTCATATTCAGAGACGTAAATATAGCGATCCAAAGTTGCGCGCTAGAACATAAAGCATGTAACATTAAAATAATTATATAGCAAACAAATAGAATTTTACCAGAGTAATATTTTAATAATTAAAAATATTACGCTGGTAAAAATCGATTTGTTAAATTCCGTTGAAAATAAAGTGGGGCAAAAAATAAATCCAAGTGTAGGGAACATAAAGAGCATCGTCGGTCATTTTAATATATAAATTTACACATAATTCTGAAATTTTTCAATAAAAAATTCTAATTTTTTGGTAATATGCCGAAAAGAATTTGCTTTAAAGTGGTATGCAATTTTTAATTTCATATCTCATAAAAATAGTTCCCAAAAAATTTACAGAAGCTGTTAAAAAAACTGAAAAATAAACGAGGAAAATATCTGGATTTTATTTATAATAAACTTAAATTTCGGATAATAAAAGAAGAAAGCGAGGGAACTCAATTAAAAAGCAATATTTTAAAATATATGCAAAATTCAATCAACAATACCAAACGCAGTTCTGTTATTCTTTATGTGCAGTAAAGAACCATCAAGAATCTACAAAGTTTATATTGCATATATATATATATATATATAAGTAACCAAAGTTTACAAGCAGTAAGTTTTCGATCTGTAAATAACCGAAGACAAAATAAGATACGGGAAAAAAATCTCCGAATATGCGCGATTGAATAAGATGAGATAAAATATTCGCTTTGACGGGCAAACGCAGCAGAAGTAAAAACAGTATTGCTGACATCAACCCTTCTTTCATTTTCTTTCTCTTCAACCAGTAAAGTAAATGATATTGATTAAAAGCTTAACATCACTTGACTTAGACCAGAGCTTGTTTTGCATTACTCAGCGGTTAATCAGTATCTGCTTCAAAAGAGAAAAAAAATTGAATTTTCTTGGTAATTTTAGAATTATTTTTATATTTATATAAAATAAAAATAAGAAACGGCTTCTGATTTTCCTAAACTGAGTTTTGATGTTCTATTAGGTTTGACGTAACTGTTCATAATCCTAAATGCAGTTTTTATTTCTTATACGTACTTTTTACGTTTCCATACCATTTTTTCTACAAAGCTTAGGTCATGGCTGCCCGCGTTTAGTTAACTCAATCGATATAATTATTTTAATATTTTTTCCATATCACTAGTAATTTGTGTACGGTCCTTATATATGAAAACATGGATTTAAAATATTTTGGGTATCGCGAGGCCGCCACTAAGTACTGCATAATAAATTCACCACATCAACAAACGGGACGGGCAGAGCGGGGTTTCGGGGTATTTCAATTTGAGGGCCACCAGCCGAGCATCGCAAACACTTGTTTCGGTCCGAGCGATTCCGCGAACGGGTTCGCTATATTTTCAATTTGGTGGCCCACCTTAGCGGCCCCGGTAAACGGTTCCAAAATAGAGGGTCCTCCACGAAGGCGTCTCAGGTAGGCTGATGGGCTTTCCGGGTTTGCCATGTGTAACGTCATACGAGCCAGTTTCCCAACTAAAAAAGTTCCTTGTGCATCCCTGACTCTTGAAGCTAGGCTTTGTAAAGAAAGAATTCCCCTAGTTGCTTTCGCCACAACACCTAATAAACCCTAAACCAATTTTGCTGTGTAGGAAATCGTAACTTTAAGTAGGTCAAAAGTTTGTAAAAATTGTTTTGGTTCAAACCGTTAATTTTTTTAAAATTCCTACATTCGCTCAAAATCCCACCCTTATAATTTCAAATTTTTTTTTTTTGTATTTAAAGACCATAAACATTTTTTGACCTAAGTAGGAATTGACTTTAAATTTTATTTATTTAATTAATTAATTTTCAATCGTTAAATAAATACTTTTTATTAATACCCACTCAAGTTCAAATACATTTTTTTTAAACTTGTAGTGGATGACACTTTGATTTGTTAAACATTTTTTTTCAGTATCAACATTTTTTATTCGCTAATTTTATTTTTTAAATTTTTATTTATTTAAATTTTAATTAATTTCCAGGCGGAATACTTTTTTTTTCCCTTAAACTTTATAACTTGTACACTTTAAATAAGAAACAGTTTTTTTTCACACATTTTAATTTCCATGGTTTGTATTTTAAAGTATGCAAATTTTAATTTGAGTTCGGAATCAATTTAAGCAAGTTTTAAAGGGTAGTAGTAGTAGGAAGTTAGTTCCCTTTATTTTATCGTGGTTATTATAATTTTTTTCGCGGCAATAATTGGCTTTAAATTCAGTAAAACTTCCCGGCCTGCTGGTGTGCCGGCCAGAAGTTAAATTTTGGATAAAAATTAAGGAGCCAGGAGTTCAGCATTTAGGGTTGGTAGTAGTACTTTAGTGAGTTACAATATTTTGCGGTTTTTGAAATAGCTCTATGCGGCAAAATTGCTTAGCCACTCACCGAATGATTATACAGACTTTCGTTTAGTTAGCCATAAATAAAAGGGACAGTTAAAAAAACTTCCCCCTGAACCTTATCTGATTATTTTGTTTGGAAATTCGCTTACCAAGTTTCAGTGTTCCAAGCACCGAATGAGTACCCTTAAGAAAAAGGGGACCATTTTCAAAGACCAGCGAGCAAGATTGTTCAGCTCTCAAATTCTAATTGTTCTGTTTTCGATTCCCCGAATGAAAAAGGTAGATAATTATTTGGCGTAACAGTTGATAGGTTTTAAAGACCGAAAAAATGAAGATACAGGCAAAGGATTCGAAATAAAGGAGCCTTGAACAACAGTTTCGTTTTTAGTTCCTCGTATCATAATAGAGGAATATGAAACTTAATAATATCATTCAAAGTTAGGTTTCATATGGCTTTATATCCTTATACCATATTTAATGCAGCAATATGTTGTACCGTGCAAAATCATGTAACATCAAATTATCATATAGGTCAAGGTAATTAATGCAGAAGCATATATCTTTATTGGTATATTTTGTGCAGCATCGGTTAATCATGCTAAATATATTCTATTATCATTATTTTTCTTTAATTATTGTCATCTCTTAGTCTCTTATATCATGTAATATGTAATCCTTTTGCAGTATGTAGTCTCTATGTAGTATATAGTCATGTCTTCATGATTCATGTTATACATATTTTCATGTATCGTGTAGTATGCAACAGTCTAAATGTAGTACATACACAATTAACCAATGTCATTAATATCATTGAGTATCATCCAGTAATATTTCGCGCAATATATGAGATTTCATGTATCATTGAATGTCTCTGCAATATTATGTTGCATGTGTGTGTCACTTGAAGCACTAATTATGGCGTCACTTAAAGCACTAATTATGGCAAAGTACTTATCTGCCATGAGCCTTGTTTAGCATTTTTTTATTATAATTATTTTCATTAAAAAATTTTTTAACATGATATTCATTAAATATGCCGGGTCTCGGCGATTGTTCTGGGGGTTTCGTGTGGTCCCTATCCTTCCCCATACGATCTTGAGATGCTTTAGATAAAGGGGGACGTGGTGTTATACCAATTAACCGCCATGGTAGAGGGGTGGTGCTTGCGTCCTCCGTCACTAACCCAAACTAGAGGAATATGTTCACTTGGTGTCATTTTAATAATTCAAATTATCTCGGAGATCATTTGGGGGAAGTGAGGGAAAAAAACAGGTGTTGCTTTGAAAGAAAACGCTTCTTTGTCTATGTTTAAAGAACAATTAATGGTTCTGAAGTTGGACAGCTAATTAAAATAGGTAATAGAATTCGAAGCTGGTGGTATAATCGGCACCTTCGAAATAGATTTTCCTTTATACGTTGGCACCATTTATTATTCGAAATTCCCTTAGACTTGAAAAGCAATAAAAAGCAGACAAACTGCTGACGGGGAATATTATTCCTACAGGTACTTCACGGCATTCGCTTATATATATAAAGACGCGGCTTAAGTGTTTGTAGCCAATAGCTTATTGTTGACACTCGTAAAAATGAGCGCGGAAATTAACGTTTCACCAATTTTTAATTAATATCTCGGCCGATTAAAGTCGTACGAAGATGAGAACGGTATCGATGGATTCGGAGAATATTTTGGAATCCGAGGATACGCGTCTCGAATTTCAACTCAACATCGTTCCGCAGATATTCGAGGAAAAAAAATTGGCACGTAGCCAAATCCCTCTAATAGGGAAAACCCAAGAAAGAAAGTGGAAAATGTAGGGGGAAAATTAGTTTTTAATTAATATCTCGGCTAATTAAAGTCCCACGAAGACGCGAATGGTCAAAATGGCGTGCCACGGACCTGCGGAATCCAACGGTGTGCTCCACTAAGCCCGGGAGCCAGCCGTTTTGGAAGAGATAATGTTACTTCACCCCATATATATATGCGGCTTAAGTGTCTGTTTTGTCGCCGATGGTTTATTGGTTGCTTGCGTAAGTGTACTAGCCAACGGGGTTAAGTTGCCAGGGCACAGGGTTGCCGTTTCTATTGAGACGTAGACAATTTCCTGTAAAACTTGCCTTTGCTATGACAATCAATAAGTCTCACGGCCAAACGTTTAAGCGTGTTGGCATTTTTTTACCTGAGCCTGCATTTGGACACGGTCAACTTTATGTTGCTTGTTTAAGAGTTTGTGAAAGAACGGACGTAAAATTAAAAATAATGGATGGTCCTCTGCAAAGCGTTGTGTAGATCTTTCAATCATTTAAAGTTCGCTTTACAAGAAATGTTGTGTACAAAGAGATCTTTGACATATGAATTAACATTTTATTATTTAAATCATCTTTATTTATAGAGCTAGCTGTGGCTCTATAAATAATTAAGAAATGTAAAGAAGAATGAAATTAAGATTTGTACCACCAGTGGTTTCCTTCATCGCACTCTAAGCAATTAAGCAAGTAGAAGGGGAAAATCCCGTGGGGCAGTAAGCAAAGGGGCGTCCTAGCCACCTGCCCTGGGTAATTCAGTTTGAATTAGCAGACACCTTTGCAAAAATCATTTTAATTACAATTTATAATATCTAAAACAGCGGTCATTTCGTAAGACCGGCGGGCTTTCTAGCATATATATAGAAAAAGTACATAAATAAGACTATTTAATATAGAATTTAAACGATGAGTTCCTTTGAATAATAGCAATAAAACATATCCACGCTATTAAGAGTTTACCTGAGTAAGGCAGAGAGCGGCACGTCCCTTACCTGAAGGGTACAAGAAAGGCAGAGAGTGGCACGTCCCTCTCTTGGGTGTAGGTGAGGCAGGACACCCCCGAGTGGTAGAAAGGGACGGAGTAATCAATGACTCGGGAACGTTCACTCGTCAAGCTGAATGCTGAGAAGGCCATGTGAGCTGCACCCGACTTCACATCAAGAGTCATGCCTGTAAAAAATGCTAAAATGTAAGTGCTTGTAGTACAATATTACACAAATTCGATAGGTGTTAAAGTCAGTGTTAGTCAAGTTTACGCAAAAAAAATGAGCCTTGAAATTGTAAGTTATCGGTATTTAGCATCTTGATTCCAGGCACTGAAAAATGCTTAAAATACCAACAAACAGAACGTGTTTTTATTCAGCAGTATGTTAGATTTTTAACAGAAATTTAAACCAGGAATTTTCGTCTTCCTAATATTTATAAGAAACTTAAAACATACCAACTTTCTCCACCCTTCTCTCTCGTTTGGTATGTGAGTTTGTGCCTTCTGAATTGACTGGTAGATTCAAGGAAACTACATATTTCTATAATTGATTTGAGAGTTGAGTTGAGTAGAGTTCAGCTGATGCTGTGCGAACGGGATTGGATTCCGTCTCTAGCTTCGTACAAGTGGATACTGAAAATGCTATCTTTACTCACAATTCCATCCTTCTTCCATTTATGAACCACTGACTAGTCAAGAACTCTCTTTTGCAACCCTCAGCACTCGTCTTGTGCAAAGACGTTTGAAAAGGATTTGAGTTTCCGCCAAACATATGTGTGAAGAGCCTACAATCTAGGAACGTTTGAAGTAAAGTTCATTCTGTCAGTGCAGCCACCTGGCCGACAGGCGAACTGGCATAATGGATCCGCTGCCTTGCCATCGGTGGAAAGAAAGAAAGTCGAATGTACAGATGACACAGTGTCTTCAGAAATACAGCGACTTCGAAAGGATGTTCATTGCAAAATTAATAAAATCCTAGAGATACCTAAGGAAATCTAATAGCTGAAGAGTTAAAACAAGTAGAAAATTTCTGGATATAATCCGAGTACAAGAATTTTTTTGCCTAAAAGTACAAATCTCTAAACCAATATAATTCTATTTAAAAACATTTCCCCTGTGTACAATTTTCTTGCATACGTTTATAAAAAGGGAATCTTGAAATTGAGAGGAAGATTGGAATTTTCTGTCTAGATAATAAACATCTAATTATCCTATACAAAAGTTCCAGACCGACATTGCTAAATTGTACGTAAAGAGCACGAACTGCTGCGATTTTAGCCGAACTTGAACTCTTCGAAGACATTATCAATGACGTTTCCTTTCAAAATTTGAACTGCGTTTGTGGTATCGTTGGTAGAAATAATTTGGAGAACATTTTGCGAGTTTATTTGTATATCTAATATCAGCTTTTGTATCCTCATTAACCCTCTGAGCGCCATGACTGGCTTTATCCAGTCATGAAATTTTTTTATCACTTGTTGCTCCCACTAAATATTAGAGCCCTTTATTATATTTAAAGAAATTAAATAGTGAAGAATTTGCATATATGTATGCATGTTTTATGAGCATTTATGAGCTTCTGAATAAGAAACTCAACGATTTCAAAGCGAGCAAACACTATACAGAAAAAACATATTTTTATCTCCACCGCGTGTGTGCATCGGAAATTCTAAAGATATTCTCCTTTTAAAATTATTTTGCGACATTGCTGTTGAATTGAATTTTATGGTTTAAGTGCTAAGGACATGATATTTCATAAATAAAGGTAACACACAAAACGTTAAAAAACGCCCCTTTGGGCGTAATGTAAAATATGAAAGTTTACAGATTTTTACATCGTTTGTCATTCGTTTACTATTATCGTTATAGTTTACTATTATATTTGTAAGTGCTGTATTTTTTTTATAAAAGACTTACTTTACAGTAATGAATATATTTCTCCAAACCCGCAGCAAAATTTTGTTTTAAAACAGCAATAAAATTTAATAGAAAATACTATTTTATAAACATTCGAGGGACAAGCAGTGACAAACTGTTTCATCCGATCCTTTTTAAAGGCTTATAAGATTCCCTCTATATATAGAAAGCACAGTCTCTTGATCTCCTATAAAAGAAACACCCAAAATTAATATATCTGTAAATTCAGTAGGCTATATTCATGCAGAAACGTAAAACGTAAAATGCCCTAGCCGGGATTCGCATTCCGGACGTCTCGAAGACGTGTCAAATGTGCTTCCAATTACACGAAGGCATGCGGAAAGGAGGGAAAAAGTACCTTTTATATAATTTAATTAAGAAAAGTGTATATATATATATTCAGTATACAATATTTTCTACAATTAAATTTGAAAAATGGAAAACCTGAAAATTTTAAGTCCTCAATCCCTTAATTAAAAATTATACTAGTACGGAAGCCTTAGTAAGGAAGAATTATTTCTGATAGTAAAACGATAGATTGCTTATTGGTTTATAAGAGCTCTGTTTTGACTTGTAGAGACATTAGGTTATTTTGAAGCAGAAGATACGAAAAATACCCTCCCCGGGACTCGAACCTGGAGCTCTCGAATACGCGCCGAGTGTGCTAACCATTACACCACGAAGGTATGCTAAGAAGGAGGGAGAAACATATACTCCGCTTTTAAGGGACCCAATCGTCAAATCTCGGTGGTGGAGAATCATCATCCACCACCCTTTTTGGTTCGAAGCAGGAGACATGAAAAATGTGCGTTAGCCTCGCCGAGACTCGAATCTTGGAGCTCTCGAATACACGTCGAGAATGCTTCCAATTACATTACGAAGGCATGCAGAAAGGAGGGAGAAATATCTTAATATACTCCTCCTTTTAAAGTGCGACTGGGAATTAGGGCGCTCAATCGCCAAATCCTGGTGGAGAATCGTCATCCACCACATTTTTTAGTTCGGGTGCCACTGTAGAGTCATTAGGTTTGTTTTTGAAGTAGAAAACTAAGTAATGTGCAATGCTTTTTCCGGGACTTGAACCTCGGACTTTTCGAATTCGGGCTGAGCGTGCTGACCATTACACCACGAAGGCACTATAAGAAGGCACGATAAGAAGGCGGGAGAAATATTTTATAGCCTCTAATTATTGTTTTATCCTATCTTAACATAATAGGTAGCATTAGAAAACTTTTAGATGCTGCATTTCTGCTGAACTAATGTCGATAGTTTCACGTAGAAACGACATACTGAGGGAATGTAAAATGACAGATTCCTTCTCAAATGCAAGCACCATAAGAAAAGGAAATGAATAACTTGTAGCAGAATTTAGTCACCAAAGAGGAATTGCTTATTTATGTGACATAGAACATGACTAGAATAGATTATCAGTTATTTCTCAAGCTTATTGACACTCAGGGGAAAGAGTACTTCCAACAGAACTGTGAACAGGATATTAATCAGATAATCTAAGACTAATGCTGATGCGATTAATCTTCTTAACTAAAAACGTTTCATCATTATCAGGTTCGATTCAAAGGCCAATTATGCAAACAAATTGTTCATTTATTTGCCTAAAGTTGATAATTTACCTATGAATTGTTCGTATGCATATAGTGATGGACTGTCGCCAATAGCGCGATAAACAGTACGAACTGGAAACCCTGCAAAGGAGTTAATTATGTAACTCGCTTATTCTTTACTCTTACTTTTCTCACTCCTTCAGAAAAAAACAGAGGTATGACACTCTCTGTTATATAACTCCTTTTGGATATATATTTAGAACACTAGCAAATCTTAATATATTTTTAATGTTTGTGATCTTTCAATTTCTTTCTACAACCTTTTTTGGATTACAAGTTAATTAGCGATGATCTCGCTTGAAACTGCGCTGGATACAAGGTAAGAGGAATCATTTTGCTTTTTACTTTTATTAATTTGTTGTGAAATTTCGAGACTACAAAACTGTTTTACAACATGAATGTCATTAGCATTATAAACTTTTCGTGTTAAGTTCGATGTTTCATTAGCTGAATAAGGCAAAATCCGCGAAAATTATCCGGCTAAGAGAAGGGATGCTTAAAGGAAGGACTTTATAGAGGGAATCAGCTAGTGTTAAAGTTATTTATAGGGAAAATCATAAAAGCCTCCATGCAGCCAGTCCACTAGTCGGGATTCGGAACAAGCTGAGCTACCATTGTTCAATGGTTTTACGTAATCGGTCTCTGGGCAATGAGCAACTGCGCAAAAAGACCTGATGTTAAAAAGGATTAATTGTTGATGAATTCACTTGTTCCTATGCTAGTTCAATTACTTCTGTGCAGTATCTTATTTTGAAAATTTTTGATTTATTTAGAACGCCGTGTTTTTTTTCTAATGCTTTATTCGCAGAGATGTAAACATGCTTGATATAAAACTTTCAATGCTTTTTGTGATTCATTGATCCATTGGTTGGATTAAGGAAATAGTGTTCGGTAGTAATAAAACCGATGGATGCAGTGTTGGATTGCAATGGATGCAGTGTTGTGAGAGCTTCAGCATTGGGTCCTGAAGCATTAGCAAGAAACTTAGAAGCTCAAAATTTGCTGTTCTAAGTAAAGTTTGACTTTTTTATGAACTTTCAAACTAGCTTTCAAGAGGGCTTTTGTTACCAAAGCTTTTCTGTTCCATTTCCACAAAATAGGCAGCTGTCTAAAATTATTTTTCCTGCAACGCATGAGGCGTTTTAGATCGATAAATGAGCATAGGCTTGCATTTGTAGTCGCCTGAGGCATTTTCACAAAAATGCAGAGTGAGTCAGTCTGTCATTAAAAGCTTTAAAACTTGGATCAAGTTTTTATGTGTTTGTGATGTAGGTTCGCTGGGTCATTTGCTTATGAAATAGACCCGTCTCATTAGCATTGGAAACTTGTTGTAGAACTTAACCCTCATTTCAAATTAATTTCAAAAATTGAGGTTTGAATTTATCTGCTGTTTCTTTATCTGTAGAGCCAGCTTCTTTCTGAAGCTTTACATCGTGCGAACTAAAACGAAGCTTAAAGTTCTCAAGCCAATCTTTGTTTGCTTTAAAGTAAATTTTCTCTGAAAACTGGCCATCTTTATTTCAAACGAAAGAAAACAATACCATCCACAGCCCAGTTTTTGTTTTGTTTACTTGATTCTCTATCCAAGCTATTAACATTTTTTCCATGTGAGGATTTCCTCTTGAAACTTAACCAACCTTTACAGAAATATCACTTGAAGCTTTGACACTAGACCGGATTTTATCTTTATTCTCCAGTACCCTTATTTTGCATTTATTGCTAGGCCCTTTGCAAGCGATGAAACACGTGTACCATTTGTCAGATTATTTAAAATTTGAATTTTCTGAGATAATGTCAAAATTTCGTGTTTTGTTGATACTTTATCACCTTCATTTTTCCTTTTATAAATCATAATGAATTATTTTAATTTAAAAGACATATAAATAAAAAAGAAGAGGATGAACACTGATAAATACGTGATTATAGATCTGATAATGTGAGTGAAATGATAAATAGGTTTTTGTCACTCACCTCTAGCGGACAACTTCAAGCGCCAAACGAAGATACATGTGGTTAAGTTAGATTATTTGAATACGGCAAAGCCACGAAAGCTATCTGCTTAAGAGAAGGGATCCCTTTGTGGAGGACGTCCTCAAGCACCTCGTATTCAAGTTACACATGGGGCTGGTATCAAACCCAAATCAGATTGAACTACCAATTTTCTAGGGTTTTAATCACTCAAGCAATGGTGGCGCGAAAACACAAAAGGAACAGTTGGTTTTGAGCAGACGTTTGAGTCAGTGGCTGCACATGCTCAAAGATTTCTCAAAGAAGAGTGAGTAAACGTTGTATGTCTGAAGATTCTTTCAAAGAGAAGAGAGTAAACCTTGTTGTAGGTCTGAAGCTTGATAGAGAGTATGCTACTATCGCAATGCGCATGTAGCGTATCGCGTTTAATTGAAATTCTCATATTGGACAGATGGGAACTAATGGGAAACAAAAGTTCGCATTCCACAAGGGTTTACTGTATTTACCTTCATTTTAGATGATTTATTCAAATGGAACACGCGAAAATTTTTATATTTTTATCGCTATAATTTAAAACAGCTAACAGCTTAGGACAATTGTTTCATGGACTATGGTAGTGATTCGACGAAGTTTGACTAATAATTTAGTTGTTTTATGAAACATATCTTAAAGATTTCTGTTGTTGGTTTCTCGCCAATTTGCCAGAGCTTTAGGTATATCTGAGAAATGTTTAAATGTTCAATGAACCTAGAGTTAAACGCAATTTCATCAGCTTTGTCTAACTCATCGTAAAAATATGTTTTCACATTTTTGTAATGCTATCTTGTATACCCATGCATATCACTGGAAATTTTCAGTTACTAAAGTATTTCATTGGAATGTACCTTTTTTTGATGAATATGAGAAGGTATTGTTTAAGTACATCTTTGCAATATTGATATTGATGCATGCCTACAGCATTTCATGAATACATTTAAAAGTCTTAGATTAACAGAAGATTAAGAAGGAATTTTACGTCTTTTTAGTGGCAAAATAAAGCGAAAGGTTCTCCATAAAACCTAATTAGGAAACGAATATCTTGAATGATATCCAAAATAAATGATTAAATGAGTTAATTATCTTACCATTCCATTTCTCGCCTCTTCTAGTGCCGAACAGTCCGTCAGCAACGAGATAGAGGTCAAAGGCGAAACATAGGTCATCAGCAAGAGAACTCATCAGATCAATGGCAATGCCGGCGCAGCAACTAATATTGTATTCGACCCCTTCTAATGCACGCCCACTGTGATAATCAGAGAACAGGCGGGACAGTTCAGCTTTAGAGTTTGTTCGAACCTGTAGGTGGAAAAAAGTAGGATATAAGGTAATGAGCAAAGTTCATTTTCCAAAATCTTCTATAAAAAACCGTACAATATAGCATTCTTATATCTGAAAGAAAGAAATATGATATGTATGCATGACTGTCTTATAATTTCCATGAAAACGTTAATATGGCGCACCAGCATCATGATGCTCCAGTAGTGGCTGGTAGTCACTGAACACTGGTAGATCGGTCAGGGGTTCAAATACTGGCGAACGGGCTGGCTGTATGGGAATTTTCGTGCTTTCCCCATGTGCAACGTAGACACGAATTAGTTTCCTTTAAAAGTCTTCCACTGGTCCTCCCTCCCATTGGCGGATACCATAGTTTACGTCGTCGTAATCAGATAGAAAAAGCATGGTGATACAGTTGGAGACATTCTGCTTTTAACAGCTCATTAATGTTCGTTGCATTTAAAAATATGAGTCCGAAATAATAATTTTTTGTAGCAAGAGGTAATTAAAATTTGCAATTTTTTCGTTGAAAACGAAAATTTGAATGTTTCTGAATCTATCAATCTTGAAAAATATTTCAAAACCTTTAGTAGGTGGTCGAGTATTTTAGTAAGACACATTTTAAAGTTATCCGAGTCATATTTGGGTATGAATGATAATAGGAAACCTATTATAGTACGTGTTAGGAAACCATGAGCTGATAGACAGAGGGCGCTTGAGCAATGTAGATATTTTTGAATAAAATAAAACAGTTGAGATCTGAAAAACGGAAAAAAATAGTCTTATGTAAAAACAAATGAAGAACAGTAACAAAATTTTGGTGATGTGTTTTGTAAATAGACAGTAATACAGTTTAATGCCTTCACATTATTGGATTTATGAAGATCTACCCGGCAGTCAGACTGAACGTAAGTACAAAGTAATTTAGAATTATTAATTTGATATTTTGTATATTTACGTTACGTAACAGTACGGTAACTTTGGAATGATCTGCATAAATAGATATCTCGTAATTGCTTTTGCTTTCCAGAAAATTCGAGAAATAAAAATTACCAGAATGTTTAGTAGTTAATTTAGTTCTTGTTGATTGTATTAGCTTTCTCTGCTTTGAATTGTGTTTTATATAACGTTTTAGTAGTTTAAAATATATCTACTGTGAGATATTGTGAGAATATCTCTGAGGAAATTTCAGAAATTTTTTTATGATAAGAATAAGTTTAAATGTATGAACTATTTATTCACTTGTGCATTCAAATTATCACGAACCCGTACGTACGCACGCAACACGTTTTGGTGTCAGAAGTGGAACTTGAATGCCAAAAACAAGAGTGATGGAGGAGCAGTTATAATAGCAGATTACAGCAGACCAGACCAGATACGTTTTTAAATGCATACGAGTACTTTTCATTCTATTCACACTTTTTACATGCCAATAGGTTCCTTCAATGTATGGCCCATTTTAAGATGGTGCAGTTACATTCTAACAATTAAACATCTGCAAAATAATTTGAGATGAGGAACCTACAGATGCGAATATTAAATTCTCTTCCTTTGAGTTTTGTACCCACAAAAAATGATTACTTAAATATTATTTTTATTTCTCTGTTTTATCAACAATTCAAAACACTGTAGTTATCTTTTTCCACAAATTTTGTAATACCCATGTATATAGGTAAGAAATACGTAAATACGACAGATGCTTTAAAAATAATTGGCGATCTCAAAATTAACGATTCTAGATTTGGTGCATTCCCCCTAAATTCATCTCGTCTCACAAATTCCAGATCTTTCTATGTTATATAACGGGACGTGAAAAGGGCAACTAAAACTAATGTTAACCAATCATACCCTGTCTCTAGTATCGCACCTACTTTGGTATAAATACCTCTAGCGAGCTAATTACGCCATTTTTCTGCTAGCTTTTATATTGCTAAAATCTCGCTGCTTCCCTTCATTAAAATGCCTGCGTAATTTCTTTAAAAAACCATTGTACATAGAAATTTTAATATATCTAATGTGCATAGAAATTTATCATATTTCATTATGATTGAATTCTAGAAATGTATCGGATGCCATTATGATTGATAAATATCTACTGAGATCATTTTATATGCGTATGTGTAAGATAAAAAATATGAAAGCAAACTTCTAAATTAACTATAATCTCTATAAACTATATCTCTATAACTATATAACTATATCTCTATATATCTAAATAACTTTCTATTCAATTTGGAGACTTTCTCTCTCTATCTTAAAAATAGCGCTGTAGGTCTAAACTGCGTCATTCAAATTAATCATGCGATCCTAGGTAACGCTTAATGCAGATACCTCTTGCCCCATCAAATAATTGTAAACCAAAACTTTTTCTAACTGAAACTTTTGACTCCCTCCCTTCTACCTCTGAATTGATGCGTAACGTTTTCGCTTACGCTTTCATCCGGGCAAGACGCTGCTGCAATCATCTATGCTCGCTTCTAACGCCAAAGTATCAATAATGTAAATGTTCTGGAAATAGGCACGATCAGAATGCCAAGTGAGTTGTAGCCACAAATTTGAATTTAAATGAAAAAGGAAATTAATCCGGCTCGACTTGTTCGTCTTTAATATGGATCAAGTATCTACGCTAAACAACTTGCTACGCTTCTACGTCTCAGTGTTCCTACATCAGTGCTTCCAATATTGTGCTATCATAACGTATGTACATTTGTAAGATATAACAAAATACGACAGCTGCTTTAAAAAAATAATTGGCGACCTCAAAATTAACATTCTATATTTCGTGCTGTCCCCCTAAATTCATCTGTTATCTCAAATTCGACATTTTTCTATGTTATGTGACGCTACTTGAAAAGAGCAACTAAAACTAAGCAATCGCACATTAGCTGTACTTAACTTGGTATAAATACCGTTGGCGATTAATTACGTCATTATTCTGCTACGTTCTACCTTGCTAATATCTCTTCGCTTCGCTTCTTTACAATGCCTGAGTCATTCTTTTTAAAAAACCAGATTAAAGAATGTATTGTCTATGAGGAATTATTCCAGTGTGCCTGGAAATCTGGAAATAAAGATCATGATTGGCTGAACTTAGTTTTGATATCAAATTCTTCCCGCCCTACTACTCAGCCATCGCGACTGTGCTTCGAAATTATTACATATATATAATAAAATGCTATTTATAATGTTATATTTTTTCAGTTATGTAACTCAAATCAGTAAAAGTTTAATTTGTAAGCTTCATCATGTTCGACTGAAAAATTTAAGCGAACTGTTAACTAATAAATGGAAGTCACTACGAAGGGCAAAGAAAGAAACAATCGTAAGTCACTTAGTAGATTAAATGCATTAACCAATTTAAAAGTTTTTTTTGTCAGTTTAACTCATTTCGGTACAAAATAAGATTCAACCAAAAAGAATTTAATCAAAATCACAGGGAAAGGTGCTTTCCACTGGAATACTCCTAAAAGGGAAACTTATACGTTACAGCTTCTACTTGATGGATTGAGTAAACATGTGGTCTTGACAGCGAAAATCTCATTTAATTTGTTACTCTCTAATTCATTCTTTCAGTTCTCGTAAACTAACGTTTATCTGCTCTTTTTTTCGAGTAAATGTTAGTTTCATGAAAGGAAGAAACGAATTTTTGACAAATATTTTCTTGTTTAACTTCGGTTTTCTCCCCAAAAGAAGCTGTATGTTATTACAAATGTAAAAGTAATATAATTTATAATTTTAATTTAATTCTTCAATTCCTTTAATACTCTTTATTACAGAGATAATTCCTCTTGCCTACCAAAAATAAATTGTTCATTTTTTAGTTATTTGGAATAATATATTTCTAATAATAGGGTCAGTTTTTAGAAGTATTAACATACAGAATGCATTAATGACACTCGTAACAAAGTCACAATTCGCAGTAAACGATTTTATAAGCTTTTATTTAGCTCACTCATCGTGTTTGACGCTATAGTTAAAAGTCTATCATTGAATTTTTTAAGCTACTTCCGGATAAATTATCGAACCCAAATTTCGCACCTACACACTTTATGGATGACATGCACTGAAGCGATCTTTCTATAATTCGGTTTAGCCGTGTAGAGACGTTAGGTTATTATGAAGCAGGAGACATGAAAAATGATGAATGCTCTCGCCAGGACTTGAACTTCGGACTTCTCGAATACGCTCCCAGTGTGCTCACCATTACGCAACGAAGGCATGCTAAGAAGGCGGGAGAAATACCTTATATACTCCCTCTTTTAAAGGGCGACTGGGGATTAGGGGATCCAATCGACAAATCCTGGAGGTGGAAAATCATCATCCACCCTTTTTTTTACTTCGAGCATCACTGTAGAGACAACAGTTTTTTCGAAGCAGGAGAGATGAAAATGTGTATCGCCGGGTCTCGAACCTCGGACCTCTCGAATACGCGCCGAACATGCTGACTATTACACCATGAAGACATGCTAACTAAGAAGGCGGGAGAAATATTTTAGAGACTAAAAGAAAATTAAGGTTGAAACGATCCCTTACTTCAAACCACGTATCTTCCGATGCTAACCGGACCTGCTGAAATTATATCACGAGAGTCAGCACAAAGGAAAACAAACTCCCTGATAAAAGTTTGCTCTAAACCCACATTGAAGAAAAAAATTGCGTTTTCATTTCATCTAATTTTACACAAAGCAATTTATGGGGGAAAATAATTTCTGTTGTTGTTATATGATTATGATATGGATTTTAAAGACATTTATCTGATTCTTTTTAATTGTTCCTTCGGGTATATATGGGAGCAGATACCTTATTGAGGACACCAATACAAGTTCTTGTCACACGCTCTTAAAGATCGGATTAAGTAGCAGTGAACAATGTCACATAAAGCATTTGGTGGCAAGAAATTTATCTTTAACTCCAACTAAAGTACATGATAACTATAGTATAGTTCGACCGACGCATGCTCCATTCGAACCGAATTATTATCAAAATAGGGTGGAAGGATGGGGACTTTCTTTCCCTAGAGC